CGCCCACCGGTGATGAGTCTACCCTTCTACGTAGGGCCGGTGATTAGTAGCCTTCGGGCGAAGCTAAGATGGACTCAGATGTAATTAGATTGAATGCAAGTATTTTGTATTTTGCATGTATGTTCTTCTTCTCCTAGCTCTTTCCAACGGTGTTGCTTCTCTAAACTCGAGTTTGAGAAAACCGGGTTATGAGAAACGTAACTCGACTATTCATAGCCGCAGTCGTGCAGTATCCATCTTATATCGACCCATAAGTGACGCAAGCAGAGCGGCAAGGCCCGAGAGTGCTGCTACCAACAAGAATACATCTTTCAGACCTCCAAGGTACGCAGTGCGGAGTGCTATACTTGAGGCCGAATCGATGGCTTGTACACGCACAAGGCCTCCGGTGAGTATTTGGTTGGGGTTCACATCGGCAACAGTCATCATGTCCAGATTCCGCTTCACCTTCTCGAGGAATATGGTCTGCCCTGTCTGCATAAATACCGAAGCCCCCAGACATTTGAAGAACAAGGTTATAGATGTCATGGTTGACATGTCCGATTCATCGACAGTAGCCTGGTTCATGATGATTGGTACCTGAAGTGCGGCTCCTATCCCAAGCCCTGCTAAAATCTGGTACGGGATCCAGTGACTCGACAGCGTGACAAGATCCAACGTGTATAGCAGTCCGGCTCCTACACTGATCAGCATCGCACCAAACAGCAAGAACGGTGTCGGGTAGCCGCTGATACCAAACCCTATCGCTCCAAATACTGCCATAACGCCAGCTGACACGATCAATGGCAGGGTGCGTATCCCTGAGTCCTGGGCTGAGTTACCTTTGACTGTCTGGAAGTAGATGGGCATGTAATATAGGAGCATGAAAAACGCGCCCGCCAGGAGAAAAATGACAATGAGATTGACAACAACTTCTTTCTTGAGAAGCAATCGACGTGGAATCATCGCCCGGTCATCCCAGAAGAATTCATTCGTGATGAACAGCCCTGTGAGGATTGGAAAACCGACCAGACATCCAATCACATCTCTATCATGCCAGGACTTGCTCACTCCCCACTCAAGGCTGAGTAGAAAACAGAGTAATGCACCTCTTAATGTAATGACCCCCGGTATATCGAGCTGGAGGATGATCTCTTTCCGTGATACTCCTACATTCGCGCGTCGAAAGGGTGGCCGAAATAAGAGGAGGAGGACAGCGAAAGTAGCTCCGCCAACAGGTACATTGATCCAGAAGCACCATCTCCAAGTTAAGTTGCTTGTAAATTCTCCCCCGATAACGGGGCCGGCAAAGCTGGCGAGCAAGAATGCCAGACCCGTTACGCCAACCAGTATAGGGCGTTTTTTGGGTGGGACGCAGACCCCAATGACCGTATATATCCCCGACCCAATGCCTGATCCACCTATTCCTGCAATTGCTCTGCCAATTATGAATGTTGGGGAGTTGTGGGAAATAGCACAAAGCAAAGACCCCAACTCAAACATGAGTAGGCTGAGGAGGTAGGTCCATTTAATATCGAAAAGTCCGTATAGTTTTCCCCATGGTGCTTGAGTTACAGCGCTTCCCAGAAGAAATGCAGCTCCATACCAGCCAACATCAGCAGTGGAGTTAAATTCGTCTGTGATCTGAGGAATAGCGGTTGAGATAATAGTCGTGTCAAGGGAAACCAGGAACATGGCCACAGCTAGGCAAAGCACAATCACATGCAATAACACCCCATCGATGTATTTCTCATGTGCATCAGAATCTCTGTCGGTATCTCGATGACTGACTACTTTGGTTTCATGCAGCGGAGATTCGCTGTCAACTTGTGACGTTGCTGTGGTCGGCGGCTTTAACGCCGTCAAATCACTGGGATCTGATGGCATCTTGCGGCCTTGTCCTGAAGATGCAAAACACAACAGCTGCAGGAAGGACTCAGCACGAACTGGAATGAGCAAGGCGAAAAAAAAGTCTAAACAAATGGGTTTGCTTTTAGTCTTTCACCGCTGCCTCGGAGAAGTCAAAGCATGGGTATAGACACTTTCAGAATGGGCTTTCACAGAAGAAATTGACTGGTAAAATGCTAAGTTTAAAATTTGCATAGCATGGCCCCAAAGGATTGCTTCATTACCAACGCAGACTAGGGTGGCCCTTCCTGTCCTCACAAATTACCGGCTGGCTGGGAAAGCTTATCCCATATTATCATTTTAATCACTTCAAAAAAGAGTAATGATCGTCCAAGACATGCTCGTTTGCGATTTACCCCTGCAATTATTTTACAGGTCGGGAGTAGACACATTACTCCGTACAGTCTTAGGCAATGTAAGTCGAACAAGGACTCCTCAGGATTCCGGACCCACATGTCTCGATCTATGTGGCTGCCTGACATGCAGAGTTGCCCTCTCTCCTCGGAAAGGCCAAAGATATGATGTCGATGAGCTCAGGTATATACGCGAAAACATTTCAATCGAGTCTTTTGTAATCGCAGACGGTTCTGATTAGTAGGGGTTTAATCCAAGTGTGGGAACTTGTATTAAGTATAGTATTCATCTGCTTCAAGACATGTCTATCTATTTTCCATTAAGATTCTTCAGCTCTTAGGAAATTACGCAAGAAGCTATCGATATGCAGAATCATACAAGATGATGCATTGAGACACCTCAGAACTAACGTTTCGCTTCCGATCGGTCAGATCTTTAGCAAATGAAAATGTCCTCATAAATTGTATCTGACGGATCACATAACAAGGAGGCAACGATAACAACATAGCGGGCCATAATATAGCATTATATAGTAGTATATTTGTTTTCAGTTAATTATTAGGTTTTTTCTTTTCTTCTTCTTTCCGAAGAAGGAAAGAAAGAGAACGAGACTTACAGATTCCTGCTTTTTCGATGCATGGTAAATACCCACTGAAGTATCAGCCAGCCATTTCACTAAAGAGTAATAAGTGAAAAGATACAGTCGATACCCCTTACAGACTCCAGTGCAAAATAAACTTTGGTGTTAGCTATGCAGGACCTAGATACCAAGAACAACCATTGTTCATGAAAGGAAGGGACAGGGAAAGATGGGAAATACTCCCTTGTTTCCTTTCTTTTCTTTTCTTCCCTGTTTTTTGTTCATTCATTATTACTCTTACAGGAATTATGAAAATATGATACATGGATCATATCTAGTCAACCTGGCTGAAGTTTTGACAATCCCTCAAGATCTGTCTACAGCCACCTTTCTGATTATCTATGCTCGATTGCAGCCACATGTTTACTATTGCGTTCTATCAAGGGTTTATTATATTTATTAATGTTATAATCGAGTTATCACCTACTCCATCAGAAGCCGAGAAGGAAGAAGATGATGAGAAAGATGAATTCTGCAAGTTCTAGACAACTATACTCTCCACCAGTGGGCCGGCCCGGGCAATTGTGAAAGGTTAGCCAGGCACAAAGATGCCATTCCCTTGCACTCACATGCTCCACTGTAGAGTAGACTTGTGTTGACTGGGGGACTCAGGCACCGTTTGCCAATAGTACTGCTTTGATGGTGGATCAATGGGTCCGGGTCTCATTCAGCTAACTTTAATGCCCCCTTGAGTGGCAAGTCCGGCTAAATAGATGCTGGACGCCCGCTCATTTTACCAGGAAATCAGCAAGCCCTGAGCAAACTCACAATTTACCTTTCTTTGGATACCATGGCACACCAAGAAACTATGGCCAGCGAAACTTCCATATCTCTACATACCCTGGCTTGCGATGCCACCAAGCTCGCCGGCACATACGCACTGCGCCAAGTGCGGGAAGATGGTCATTGGTACGGTGAAATGAAATCCAATGCTACTATTACAGCGGAATATGTCTTTCTTGCGCAAGCCTTAGGGTTCAGCATTGAGGAAGACCGGGACGATCTCATCAAGTATTTCCTTTCCGAGCAAAATACAGACGGTTCATGGAGCCTGGCATATGACTTTCCCGGGGACGTTTCTGTAACCGCAGAAGCCTACTTCGCCTTGTGCCTGTTGGGCCTCGACCGCAGCCACCCAGCGATGGCTTCAGCGCGCGAGTTCACCCTCTCCAAAGGTGGCATAGCCAAGGTACGCGTGTTTACTCGCATGTTCTTCGCTTGCTTCGGGCTATTTCCTTGGTCTGCAGTGCCCGAATTGCCAGCCGAGTTGATCCTACTCCCTGCTGCAGCCCCGATGAGCATCTACCAGCTAGCAAGTTGGGCCAGGGCGACAGTGGTTCCTATGCTGGTCATCCGACATCATCGTCCCATTTATGCTTTGCCAAATGGAAGATCATCTTCAAATGAATATTTGGACGAGCTTTGGGTCGATCCAACCGACAAAATGGTCCCCTATTCGCCTTCTTTGTGGTCATTATGGAACGATGATCTTACAGCATTTGGCTTCACTCTAGCCGACAATATTCTGAAAGCCTTAGGTGGCCTGCGGTGGTTCCCTTCAAGAAAAATTGCACTTCGACATTGTGTGGCGTGGATCCTTGAACGCCAGGAGCCCGAAGGCGATATCGGAGGTATCTTCCCTCCTCTGCATGCCGCATTGTTTGCTCTCGCGCTGGAAGGTTATGGCCTCGAGTCTAGCCCTGTACGTCGAGGTATTGACGCCCTTCAAAACACCTACGCGTGGAGAGACAGCACTGGTTTGAGAATACAAGGCTGTATCTCGCCAATTTTGGATACCATCCTCATGACCATCGGCCTGATTGACTCAAGCCTTCCGGCCGAAAGTCCCCTCGTTGCACGATCGTCACGATACCTTAAGGCCCACCAACAGCTTGGAAACGAGGGCGATTGGAGGGTGTATAACGGAAATGTCCCATCCGGCGGGTTCAATTTCGAGTACTTTAATTCGTGGTATCCGGATATTGACGATACTGCTGCGGCAATCTTGGCGATGGTGAAGCAGGATCCAAACCTATTAGACTTAGGCCCCATACTATCTGCAGTTCAATGGATCCTGGGATTGCAGAACGATGACGGTGGATGGGCCGCATTCGACCGGGAGAACAACTACCTGTTCCTCAACAAAATCCCTTTCAGCGACATGGACAGTTTTTGCGACCCATCCACCGCGGATGTGACTGGGCGTGTCATTGAATGCTTTGGCCTGTTAGCTAAGAGGGGTTCTGTGCTGTCCAGAAATGGTAAAAACCCAATCCCTCGGTTCTTCATCGACGACATGTCCTCAGCTACTGAGCGTGCAATCGACTTTCTTTCAACGGAACAAGAGGCCGATGGGTCATGGTACGGCCGCTGGGGCTCGAACTACATCTATGGAACTAGCGCGGTACTTTGCGGTTTGGTCTACCACTTGGAAGGCTGGGATGATACGTATCCCGTCATGGAAAAGAGGCACAAAGTGGACACTCATGCCGCCCTGGACTGGCTCAAAAGACACCAAAATCCCGACGGTGGCTGGGGCGAGCGCCTCGAATCCTATTATGAACCTCGTCTCGCAGGCAACGGGCCATCCACAGCATCGCAGACGGCCTGGGCATTGATGGGCCTGCTTGCATATTTAGCCCCTACAGATGAGTCAATCACCCGGGGCATTCAGTACCTTTCACGGACACAAATAAAGGAGGGGGAACTGGCGGGGTCTTGGAAGGAGGATCACTACACTGGCACTGGCTTTCCAAACCATTTCTACCTTTGCTATACCCTGTATTCTCAATACTTTCCAATGATGGCCTTGGGTCGGTATACCAGTTTGTCCGGTTACAGACCACTAGAAAATCTGGAAAGCACAGTGGAAGACCATAAAGGCAACTCTAGTGACTGTTGATGGGTAGGGTTTGACCGACCCGATGCCCGGTATGTTAAATTTAATATCAAACTTATTAGCCTTCGTAGCACCGTGAAAACTTCACAGAAACTAATCCCAGGTTTTGACCTAATGGATATTGGGAACGATGTGGTGTTTGGCAATCGGTCGTGCCTGGGCACGGTGGACAGGCTGGGCAGGAAGCCCATTGTCATCAAAGATGGGGCCATGCTGGGGGACCGATCTGTGGGGCTTCCGAGGGTAAACATTGGAACGCGCACGATGGTGGGCTCGGGTGCATTGCTGCGGCGGAATGGCTCCTATCTCGATGACCGCAGGAGCTATTGCCAGCGCTGGCAGATCCAGCGCACCATCGATATCCTCATCGAGGAGTCTTTTGGCGGGAGGGGCATCCCTGTCGTTAATCAGCGGGACAGCGTACCTGAGCTGGTTCTATCGGGCGATGGGGGCCAAGATCGGGTCTGATTGTGCGTTGAGCGCCAACGGGGAACCGCACATATTTCTCACCGAGCCGGACTTGGTGACGCTGGGGGATCGGGTGACGGTGGATGATGCCAGCCTGGTATGCCATCTCAATACCAGAGGGAATTTTGAGCTGCAAAGAAACAATGGCTCTGTGGGGCGTACATTATGGCTGAGTGGGCAGGTATACAGGTACCAATCTAACAGGAAATGCTGAAATAATAGTAGGATTTCCACTTCAGTATCGCCCAAGTAGCAGCTCTTGTTCTTCCAGCTTTTGGCAGATGTACAGCCGCCCAAACAAAAGCTTCATCCTCCTTCCAATCACACAAAAATGCCCATAGGAAAGTCTCAGATTTCCCCCTTCCCAACGCACATATTGTTCTCAGCTACTACACCTTGGCCATATTTAAGCCAAGGCATGATGCAGGGAATAACACCCCTTTCAAAACATCCAACCAGGCAGAATACGTTGCAACACACCACCTGTAGCAGCCCCGGGGTGCGGCAGATGTCCCAGCGGATGGTCTGCGCACTTGCGCACATCCGCGAGAGTGACTCCTTCGGGAAGATCGGCTGGGTCGACTTTCATTACTCCGAGGGAGCCGCACTCTTCTTCGACACTGAGGTCGGTGGATACGGCGCTGGTGGCGTAGATGGTGAGAAGGAGGTAGGTAAGGAGTCTCATTTTGGGGTGTCTTTGTTCGAGGTTTGGGTGACAATAAAGGTATTGATTTTGCTGAGGGTGAAGGTGGGAGAAGAGAGAGTATGTAGATTTTAGTTGGTTTTACTAGTAGTAGTCTAACTGTGTGGCGGCCCTAGGGCGAAATTTGCTGCTGCTTTAAATACTGGCGTGGAAAATAAACAGACAACGTGGCAGGACTGGCCTTGACAGTTGCCTGCTGTCTGTACGACCTATTCCTTTGTTCCATGGTGTATTGATAGCCGCCTGGTATTGATGGGTCCAAGTGGATGGATGATGCCAATGACTCATGGGAATCATGGTGATTGATTTGGTAGGTTTTAACTTGAGGATTTGATCTACAGGGATACGATTCCCGTGAATGAAACCAACACTCGGTGAGACTTGATTAGTTAGTCTATATCTGTCTGACTACTTAGTTTCTCTTGGCAGGGTCCACAACACAACATGACATTCTTATAATGACAAGTAACTCAGGACAAGCCTGGCCTATTCGCAGTGGCTGACTGAAGTCAACAATATGAGAGCTCAGGATTCGAGCAACTCCCTGCAATGAATGTTTGTGACAGCCGTGGAAGGTCGGGTTCGAAGATCTGTGTTGATGGGTCTAGAATACGATCGATTATATGCACCACACCCTATGTCTAGTATTAATAAGAGGATAGTATTCGCCGGTATTGCAAGGAAGGAATGAGTTCGTACACTAGTAACCGGGATATCTGATTCCACCACATTTGCCACTTGATTAAGAACAATCGCACCATCCTGCATTTGCGATCCCACAAAGAGGTAGGTGGCAGTCTAAGCTAGACATCAGTTGATTACATTGTAATCGGACGGGTATTCTCACCTGAAAACGCTGCAAAGTCTCATTGAAACTACTCGATGTGAGCCTAGAGTTAGGCACATAGTGGTGTATGATGGTGTTTCCCAGCCACCATTTCCCTTTCCTATGCAGGATCAGCAACGTTGATGCAAGATCAGAAAGATTGATCTGACATACGGAGTCGGCTCAAAACTATCAAAGTATGCCCCGGTATATAATTCAAAGGCATCGTTGTTCGGTGCAAAGAATGTAAATTTCCAATTTGGATCGGTGTCAAACGCTTGTGCAAATCCGCCAAGTTCATCGATTTTCTCAGACAGGATGCTTAAGTCCGACCGAGATTTGATGAAATCCACAAGAGTCGTCACATTCAAGGAGCTGGAAGTGACATAGCCGGGGATGTTTCGGTAGTTCAGAGGATCAGTTGTGGCTATGACTGGACTAATCAAAGAAAGGAGTCCTATAATTGGAGCGAATGAGAATATCATATTGTGAGTCTCGTTATCTGGATAAGTTGAGGTAACAACTTCAGCACGCGAGTCCTGGGAAAATAAAGAGATACCTCAGAGGCTTCATGATGCAATTTGTTCAGGGTCACTAGTTTGGCCGCTGGATCTCCCGGAGCATCTCCGCAACTTCATCCCCCTGACCCGGCCAATGAGATTATACCACTCGGCTGAAAGGCTGCAGCCTTATTAGCTAGTATCTTTACTCTACCTAGCCCCTTTACTCCGGTGGGGATTCCGGACAAGCTCCGGAGGTTGCATAGAAAAGATCTGCTGCAGTTGATCTCTTATAACTACCCCAAAAATGGCTTCCCGGTTACTGCACATCACGTACCCTTGGGCAAACCCGGCAACATGATGAAACGCAAATCTCAGCTGTCATCATTCACCTTAGTGACGGCGGCAATTTTACCTTTTGCCCATTTTGTGATGGGAGGCACAAGTCTCGCACAAAAGCCTCAGATGGGCTGGAACTCATGGAACGCATTCAAAGCGACGGTCAACTATACGATAGTTCAAGAAGTTATTTCGCTGTTCGATACGCTTGGGCTGAAAGAGGCGGGCTACGAGTACGTGCTGCTTGATGATGGATGGGCAAGTTACAATCGCACGTCCGACGGGTATCTTCAAGCCAATGCAACATCCTTTCCTCAGGGTATTAAGGCACTGGCGCAAGAGGTGCACGGTAAGGGCCTAAAACTAGGCCTTTATGGAGATAGTGGTCATTACACCTGTGCGTGGAGACCGGGAAGCTGGGGATACGAAGAGCGAGACGCTCAAACGTTCGCGGGCTGGGGCGTCGACTACCTCAAGTACGACAATTGTGGCGGATTTCAGTCGATGACAGAGGCCCCTCAGATACGCTTTGGGGCAATGAAGAATGCTCTCACGCTTTCGGGTCGAGATATCTTCTATTCCGTGTGTGGATGGGGTTATCAGTTTCCCTGGCACTGGGGAGGAGGTGAGATACACCCTGCAAACCAACCAATCTTCTACCTTAAGATACTCATTCCACCCGCCTGCAGATATTGGTCACTCATACAGAATGTCTGGTGACATTACAACAAGCTTCACCAACGAAACTGAGTGCCAGTGCAAGACCGCCTACTGTCTCAATACCGGGTATGCCGGTTGCTCAGTACTGACCATCATCAACAAAATGAAAGAAATCAGCCAATATCAGACGCCAGGTCATTGGTTGGATATGGACATGCTAGAAGTCGGAAATGCAAATTTCACACTCAACCAGCAGCAGACGCACTTTGCATTCTGGGCGGCGCTGAAGTCTCCCTTGATCATTGGTGCTGATCTCAGCAAGCTTTCCAATGACAGTTTAGCTGTTCTCACCAACAAGGCTATCATTTCGATCAATCAAGACGCGCTGGGGGAGCCTGTGACGTATCGCGAAGCACATAGCAAAGAAGGTCTCTTCCAGGTATGGGCTGGGAAGGTTGAGGACGGATATGTTGTTCTGCTGCTGAATGAGAAAAGCTATCCGCAAACTGTGTCTCTGAGCTTTGCCAGTTTGGGACTTGGCTCACCTCAGAAGGTCACTGAACTTTGGTCGGGGCAGACTTTGCAGGATCTTAGTAAGTTCAATGGGACTTTGGGGTCTTATCAAACTCTTGTTTTCAAAGTGAAGGCATGAAAAACTGAGGCATGGTGTGGCTTTAAACTGTCAACCTTCATCTTCATAACATATTTTCTTATTATATTCGCTGGAAGAGTCTGTAGATTTCTGCAAACCCACAAAGTAGACAAATAGACATATTGAATATAAAGTAGGCTTGATTATGTCTCAAGGCTGAAATTACGCTCGATTGTCTTCTAATTGCCCGCCGTATTCCCAAATAAGACAAGTTTGAGGACGGCAAATCCCAGTAACCACAATTGTTAAATTAGGTGAAAAGCATGAGCCTTTGAGCAGAGATATACCACTACATCCCATTGTGATCTTTCTATAAGAAATTCGTACACATTGCTTGTGCCAACCGCCCAATATGGAAGTAGTTGGAAGGAAAAATAGGCCTTGAAGAAATACATACCGGCATATGCCAAGCTCCGTCCTCATTGTTTAGCGCGTAACGCTTCCGCGAACATATCAATCGGGGGTGACGGAGGTGAGGATGTTCCATCTCATGTCCCTGCAGTCTCGGCTGATAGTGGCAACAGTTCATTCCACAACCCTCGTGTCGAGGGAGTGGCATGTTGGTAAGTGGTATCCCAAGCTTCTTTGGCTGGCCCCTGAAATGTTAAGTTGATGCTAAATTTTGGTTCTTACTTCTTGTCTCTGACAGGTGGACTGATTGGTGGGTCGACGGGTTGCGTGGCTCACTGGATCCCGTGCACTAGGGTTCGACAACTGCCTCCCTTTTCGTCCGCCACACATTAACTACCCTGCCTGGACTCCGTAGATAGGGATAAAGTACTCATGATCAAATGAATTGCAGGTTTCTCATGACGCACTCTCTCACGCGGAGAGAGTCTTTAGTGCTCCTGCGCATACGTAAGTTCGCCGCCGATCCTTCCCTGAAGACATGGACCCTGGATATTAACTGCAGGTGGGTCTGTCTTGCACTCCGCAGGAAATATTTTCTCCTATTTCCTGTACATATCGGTGGAACCAAACCCTAGAACTTTAAAAGAACGGAAACGATAGTCTAATAAGAATCCGGTGCTATTCGAGAATCTATACGCGCGATAGTGAAGGGCATTTTCTGTACGGTTAGGGCCAGCGCGCCCCAAATCTTAATGAAGACTCAATAGTAGCGACGAGCCTCTGCGTGGACTGACAAGCGGAAGTTCCTGGCCATTATCTATTTAATTATGTCGATCCATTGCCTATTCGACTTTCAATTAAGCATATCGAACCACTTGCTAAGTCATTCTGGGAAAATCTCCGGCGTCGGACACTCGCCGGCAATTACCCCGCCCGCCGACAGGAAGCTGATTGGCGCAGCGTATGTCTCCATGTCTACGAACTCAACGGTGCAGAGGATGTGCCAGGAGTGGCATGACAAGTGCAGATTGCGGGGAAGACAATTCCCCCATGGGGGCGTCGGTCTTTGTGCATGCCTGACTCTGTATGTCAGACATCTCCTTCCTGGAGACAATGTTCACATGGTAAATTTCTCAATAATCTCAACTCTGCCTACCCGATGCCCCCCAAATCCCATCCCGCAACAGCCAACGCCAACGTAGGAGACTTGCCAGAGACAACCAACAAAGGAGAGGAGGAGATTCCAGCCTGTCAGTTCTGTCGCAAGAAAAAAGCCAAGTGCAATCGAGCGCAGCCGTGTTCGCAATGTATGCGATCGGATGTTCTTTGCGTCTACGATGATCGACGGACGAAGCCCGGTCTCCGAGCTGGGGCGGTCGACCAGCTCTATCGGCGCGTCGAGACGCTGGAGAATATGTTTTTGGGTCAGGAGATGCTCTGGCAGCAGATGTGGAAGGCTTTATTCCCGAACACTGAGCCCCCGCGATCCCTGGACAAGGGAACCACGGCAGCCACGACCCTGACGGAGCGTCGGGAGCAGTTGAAGGCTTCATTACAGGAGCCTCCACCCTTAGCAGCGAAGAGGTCACTTACAGTGGCAGACGCCGACAATTCTGCACCGCTGGACTGTGTTCCTCTCCCAGCCAAACGCGCCCGTGTGGAGGACGAAGTGGCTCCCCATGCGGCTGTCCTAGAGCCCGAGCCTTTCTTGGCCAACTCTTTACCTGACATCGTCTTGAACGAACTGGTGGATTTCTACTTTGTCAACATCCATCCGTGGATACCGATACTACACGTTAAGAGATTCCGTGAGCGCATGCGATCGCCGGAGGAACGAGGGCATATCAATTGCATCTTACATGCCATCATCTCTGTCTGTGCCCGCTTTTCACAAAATGGCCCAAATGGCGATACGTTGAACTTAAAAGAGATCGCCAAGAAAAGTCGGCAAGAGGTAATATTGCAAAGCACTGAAACCTTCTCCGTTGAGAATCTCCAAGCGCTAGTGATCGTCGCATTTGAGACAGTGAGCAAGAGGCCCACGCCATGGATATCCGGGAACAAGTAGACTGATTTCATTCGAACAGATTAATCGCGGCCGTGGGCCCTCCTCATGGTCTATCATTGGCAGCATGGCGGGAACCGTGGAGCAGCTTCAGCTTGGCGTGGAAGAAGATGACCTGTATCGTGTCAAGCGCATGGGAGAAAGACTGATCAGGCGCATGGTTTGTCTGACACCATCTCGGTCATGGAGTGAAGCAGAAGAGCGTCGCCGTGTATTCTGGGCAGTCTTTCTCATGGACCGCTTCTGCAGTGTCTCGACAGGCTGGAAGATCAGTCTGAGGAATGCTGATGTGAAGCGCCGTCTCCCGTGTGAAGGTGCTCTGTGGGAAAAGGAACAAGAGGTCTGCACCCCGTATTTCGGCATCTCTGATTTCAAGAACACTTCCATGCCTAATAGTCACTCAACTTCGATGGATGGCTCTGAAGAACAGGCCATCGGCGCATTTGCCTACATCATCGAGGCTACTGAGTCACTGGCCTTAGTGACCAACTTCTATCTCCACCACGTCTTTCTGATTAACGATGCCAGCAAGGCACGATTATGGCTCGTCAAATTCAAGGAACTAGATCTGCGACTGATTCAGTACGTATCATCTCTTCCCAAGGGATGTCTAAACACCAGTGATGCTGACGCGCGCAGATGGAAAATCCATTTGCCTCCCAAATGGCGCGAAGCCTGCGTCCTAAATGAACACAGAGTCATGGACCCCAATCTGACTCTGGCACACATCACCCACAATACGGCGGTAATTCTGCTGCATCAGGGCATCGCCTATCCACCATCGCATTGGCAGTACTGTCCCATTAAGCTCCCATCAGCATCCTCTGCTGATACGTGCCTTGAAGCGGCTTCAGAGATAGCAACTATTGCTAATAAATTCCTGTCCTTTTCTCCCATCTTCACGAATCCCCAATTTTCTTTTTGTCTATTCATCGCCGGCCGCACACTCCTCGCACACGCTAGGTACAATAGGGTACCGCCTTCACCCGCACTCAACACCCTCATTGCAAACCTGATGGAGATCTCGCAGCGGTGGACAAGACACCATGACGCCAGCGAATCCCAGCAAGAGGAGAGCCTGGCATTCAAGTTTGCCACCCGGCTCATCGAAGCCCAGCAGAATCGAACCAGTGCATCTCGTCCGAGTCTGGATATTCGCACGACTGCGTATTCAGATGAATCAAAAGAGGAGATGTACAAAGACCCCATGAGAACAAACCAGGATGATCTCCCAGACTATGAATCGCTTAGCAGACCACTGCAGCTGGCTTCATTCCCTTCGCAGGAGTCCACTTCCTGCACGTTCGACCCATTCAGTCTGGCCTTCCCACCGCTGCCACCAGCCTTTCAGCAGGATTTTTCGCCCACTGGTCTCGACCCGCTCTCTTTCTATAATATGCAATTGCCGTCGGAGTCTATGTCTTCGCCTCTTGGTACGAGAAGCCACGGATCGGGTTCTCAGCACGATTCGGAGAGTTCCATGACCAGTCTCTTGCCGACGGATATTTCTCATCTCTTCGATATGACGTCTAGTCCGGGGCAGAGAATCAGTTATTACGGCAATACACGGGGAGTGACCAACAATTCGATAGTCGAGGGAGCCGACAATTAGACGAGTAACAGAACTTGCGTGATCATATTTCCTCTCATTTACGTTGTGCCTCTATATTTTATGTCTACTTCCCTGCCCCTCAGAGGGGGTTCTTTAATGCTTCTACTCCCTGCCACACTCGCTGCCTTATATATGAGGATCGACCAAGTCCATCTCAAGGAGCATATTTCCAAACAGCAAGAAATAATAATCAGCATAGACGAGACCATGGTCCGACCACCTTCGCGGAGCAAACTCATAGTTATTGATTGTTGCGCCCGTCAGTATAGTTTCAGCAACATCCCCAACCACCCTCAGCACTTCCGCCCCGTTCCGAGTCTCAGTGTGATGCGTCGAGCACTGGTCTGCGTACACGGAGATTTCTGACGCAGGACCAGCCTCGAACCGCATAGGGGGATTCAAATACCCCACAACCGTACAATCAACCAGCTTCATAGCAGCCCGAAGGTAGTGGTTAGCCGCCTCAACATCATGCATCTTCTTGTAAGCCTTATAGAGCAACAACATCCCACAGGCAGCGATCATCGCAGCAGAGGTATCGCGTGGGGAGGTGTCAGTAACAGGCGCATCAAAATCCCAATATGGGACGCCATCATCCGGCAATCTCGCAAGAAATACATCCGCCAGTGCTCTAGCAGTGCGAAGGAATCTCATCTCTCTTGTCCACTCGAATGTCTGCGCGAACCCCATGATTCCCCACGCCTGGCCTCGTGCCCAGCAGCTATCATCACTATATCCCTGATTTGTGAATTTTTTCTTCACCTCCCCCGTCTCCAGGTCCAGATCAACAACGTGAAATGTCGTATAGTCATCTCGGATATGATGCTTCTGTGTAGTGATCGCATGAGCCCTGGCTATATCATAAAGCCTCCGACAGCCTGTTTCTCTCGCTGCCCAGAAAAGCAAATCCAGGTTCAGCATGTTGTCGATGATAAATAGGAAGTCCTGCGACGAATTTCTGTATGCATAGCGCTTGGTGATGCACTGGTCCCAGCTACGAATACACTGGGTTGATTCATTAAAGCGACTGGCGAGGGAGTGGGCTGCTAGTATGAGAGTGTTGTAGGCTGCTGGGTCTCGATGCAGGGTCCATGCTTTCATCGCCCAAGGGGTGATCATGAACCCTAGGTCGTGAGTATCCTTGCGAAGGGCGTTTTGGTGAAGGTTTGCTGTCCACCAGCGGCAGAGGTGCTCGTGTTGGAGGGGATGGGGGTGGAGGATGGATTCGCTGGTTTGTCGTTGGAGAATAAGATGCCGGTCGCGGAAGAGAGTGCTGCGTTCTAAGAGGAGGTATAAAGAGCCTGGGAAGAAGCCGGAGGTCCAGAAGTCAAGGGTTCGGTAGATATATGTGGTCTTGTCTTCGCCGGTATATTCGGGGTAGAAGGTTGGAGGGGTTGTCTATGTAGAATGTATTTTGTTTAGGATAGTGTGAAACATTTAGCGGTTCGGCGAAATAACTCACACTACCCATCGCCTTGGATGCGACGAACCAGACCTTGGCTAGGAGGGATTCTGAGAAGAGGGCTTCGAGTACTCGCGCCCATTGCTTGGTAGGGAGTACTTCGGTGCCGTTGATGGTTGTTGGGGGTCCCGCTTCGATAGACATCGTTCCTAGTCAATATATGGTTTGCACGCTATAGAGAGGAAGACTTCAAGATAAACTGAATGAGATGCAAGATACAAGGTTGAAAGTGTGTTCAAGACCGTCCATCTACAAGATCTCCTGCTCCATTTGAGGCTGTATGCATTAGCCCTCGGAAGGGGGTCCGGGAATTCCTCCGCGCGAGAACTCCCTGCTAAAATGCACTGGACAGGCATTTCGGGCTATCTCCCGGAGTCCCTCCGACGAGCCTAGAAGACACTCGTTACAGCTAAGACTTCCCCACCATCGGGGCTCTTCATCACCCTGAATCTAGGGAATACAAGTCCAAACATTAATATCTTATCTACACCTCAATTTTGTCTTCCTGACCCACAAATCCGCTGTCTCCAAATCCACAATGGCATCCAAAATCTCCGATATGGACGCAACAACGGCCGATCATCTCGAATCGACAGAGAAAAAAGACCCCTATGCGGCAGACCCAGGCATTGAAATTGACGAGGCAACTGATAAACGACTCTTTTGGTTGATCACTCGTCGTATCCTGGTTATCCAAATTGTTACCTATTTCTTTCAGTCGCTTGACAAGGGCATTCTGAATTATGCCTCTATCATGGGTATCAAGGACGATGCACATCTGGTCGGACAAGAGGTTGTACACCAGTCTTTAATGGTACATAACAATTGGCTAATAGTAATTTGTTTGACTTAGTATTCGTTACTGGGTACGATTTTGTACATCGGGATCCTCGTGGGAGAGTATCCCCAAAACCTGCTGCTGCAGAAGTTTCCGGTCGCCAAAATGCTCTCTGTCAATGTATTTATCTGGGGTGCGATTGTGGCCTGCTCGGCCGCATCTACGCGCTTTGGATCTCTCATGGCAGTCCGGTTTCTGTTGGGGTTCTTCGAGAGCTGTATTCAGCCTGCAATGATGCTCATGTGCGTGTCTTTCCAGCTTCTAATACAGAAAGGCCTTGCTAACTCTAGTTCCAGAACAGCCATGTGGTATAAGCGGGAAGAGCAGTCGGTGTTGAACTCGATATGGTACTGTATGACGGGAGTGCAACTGATGGTATGTTTCCCCCTCTCGCTCCTCTCTTATAGATGCAGTTGGACTAATTACTCCCAAAAGATTGGTGGTCTTCTCGCCTTCGGCACTTCACAGTACGTAGGCGGAGTGATAAAGAACTGGCAACTGCTTTTCCTCGCTCTTGGATGCGCGACATGCGTGTGGTCATTCTTTATTGGCTTCTTCCTACCTGATAGCCCTCTCTCAGCCAAGTGCTACAGCGAAGAAGACAAGAAACTGATGGTAGAGCGCGTACGGCATAACGAGACGGGAATCGAGAACCGACAATTCAAGCGATATCAAGTCATCGAAACGATCCAGGATCCTATTGTCTGGTGCTGCGTGATGCTCATTCTCGTGGCCAACCTAGTTATCGGTGGTCTGGGCGTCTTCTCCAACCTAATCATCGAGCAATTCGGCTTCTCTCTGCTTCAAACCGAGCTTTTGAATATCGCCCAAGGCTCATGGACAATCATCGTAATGGTTGGATCAGCATGGTGCTCGCAACGCTTTCAACAGACGTGTTTAATCATGATCGTGAGTTCCAACCCCTCCATTCAGCCACCCAAGGCTAAACAGATCCCAGCTCTGGACAATTCCAGCCATCGTCGGAACCATCGTTATCCTGGTCGTAACACCCACATCATCCAACGCCGGCGGCATGCTCATCGCCTTCTACTGCACGCAGTTCTTCCTCGCCGAGGGCAACATGATCATCTCCTTGATCACCCGCAACACAGCCGGTCAGACTAAGAAGAGCCTAACAATGACCTTCCTTTTCGTGGGATGGGCCGTGGGGAATCTCATCGCGCCGCAGATCTTTCAGGATTCTGATGCTCCACGATACTTGCATGGCTTTCTGGCGCATATTGTGATCTATGCTGTCTTCATTGCGCTGACGGTTTTGACGAGGGTGATTTTGACGAGGCGGAATAAGGCCAAGGAGGGCGAGAGCAGTGATGTCTCGCATGAGTTGGCGTTTCAGGATTTAACGGATCGGGAGAATCCAAATTTTCGGTATGTATATTAGTCTGCTTTTCGCATTGGGGTGTAGGGTTGTATAGTCTTCAAGTAGCTAGTTAGTACTGGATGGGTCTCAATTTTTTCAAAAATGTATATCCACGCCCCTCGAGTCCACATATACTACCCCGGATCTGAATAAGGAAGCTGAATATGTTAAATACATCATTATATTGAAGAAGCTATCTTAGGCACGTTCAAATACTACTACATAGAGCTTCTCCAGAACAGAGCTATGCCATTTAGTAACTACATATTTTCCATTGCACTAATTGTATACATCCAAAGCTGATACATTTGTCAAAGCTTCTATTCCTCTGCAACCGCGAAAAGCAAGTCCGCCCAACTGAACGGATCAACCGGCGAGGTCTGACCCTTCACAGATGCATCATAGACATCTTTCACGCGCGAAGTCCAAGGAACCTCAATCCCTCTTTCCAAAGCCTCATAATAAATCAACCCCCAAGCAGCCGGGTTCGTCTTCCCATCCTGATACCCAATATACCGATTGATCGCTGAAATATTTGCCCAAGGACCATCGACCAAAACCACCTCGCACCGATAAAAGCTCGCGTCATAAGGCACCGTCTGATTCATGAGGTACTTACCCGCATACTCCGCCGCCGTGAAAATAAGATTATTTTCCAAAGCAAATAAATCATATTCTTGATTAGCCACGACCCTCGCAGCAAGTGCCGTCCACTGCAATGCATCCTGCACATGCGTCTGATCGCGACCCGCTTCGGAGTTCTGGCCCGTGGAAGCCAGATAATTGTAGGGGAAACCGGCACAGCGATCATACTTATACGCATACAGAGCATAATTGTACAGAGCCACGTCGTCAAGGTAAACGGCAAAGTTGAGCAGACCCATAATACTAGCCATGCCGTAGTTTGCTTGTCCGATGATGATGCTCTGTCGAGCGAACAGCCAATAAAGCTGGACGCTCAGGCCGGAGCCGCCTTTGAATGTTGCGCCTTCTTCTACCCAACCGCCTTCCCAGCGCATGATCTCGGCTGCGTTGGCGAAAATGGAGCCTTCGATTCCGATTAGAAGGGATCGGTCTGTGCCAATGATGTTCTCGAGGTTGGAGCCCCAGGCGTCGAGGATCGTGGTTGAGCGGTTCCAGTGGCTTTCGTTACGGGTTATGTACCCTATGTTTTCCTGATGTATTAGTCCTGGAGTAGTCTCTGGAATTGGATTAGAGACTTACACATTATAGCATTCTGGTATGCAGCGCGAGAGTCGTCATGAAAACTGGTATAGTTGCTTATCTGCCCACGACTAATCACAGGATACGGCCCCTGCATTTCATAAGAGGCACTGGAGTAGGGATCCTTGGCAAAACGGGTGTATGCAGATGCCCAGGGCTCGACGCCTTTGAGAACATTGTTTCGCATAAGCTCGAGCTGAGAGTGGCTATGCCAGAGTCCTGGATGCTGGAATTGATTCGTTCTATCCTTTGAGCCGGGTGTGTCAGGGACCATCATTACCGGCCCTAGAGTAAATAAGCATGTTAGAGTGGATATTATAACTCAATGTCTAGCTCGTACCGTTTAGACTGGGTACATCTTGAATCAACCCGTGGACGTGAACAGCGGTGGCTACCGCAAGGAATATTTTTAGTATCTGCATGATCGGAATGCTTGGTGGCAGTAAATGTTGGGTCTTAATGGTGGCATGTCGTTCATATTACTACTACCAGCTCGTGTTTAAAGATCGAATTAGACCTCGGGCTAAGTGCCGGACAGGGTCCGATTCTCTAACAACGCTAAGAAACGTTTCAATATTCATGCGGGGAACAGCCGGACAATGCACCGGCGTGCATCTGGCATACGCATTCTTCCCGAGAAGACGGGAAGAAGGTGGATCTGGTGGGGAGCAGGAAGAACGGCTGCTTCATTTGCCGATGCCCCTGAAGAACAAGCACAAAAAGTGTACTTTAATATAGATATCAAACTCAATTGATTCAGGGTAGTAACTTAAATATATATAGTAGCTTGTACCGCCATATCCTCCACCTCATGGTTCCGCATCCAGAGCAGCATCATACCTCATATCCATCATGATCTCCATTCTCTCGCTACTCTCCCTCCCTCTCTTCCACAACCTCGCCCATGCAGGCACCATCTACCACAGCAACTTCACCTCTTCCCTATCCCCCTTCTCCGCTTGCAATGTAGAATCTCCATCCTACTCCACCGCCACCGACGGCAACCTGACCGTCTACTTCGACGAGTCCTACTACGACGGCACCCGCGATCGCAAAGGCGCCGAGATCTGCGTCTTTGAGGACGGCACCAGCACCAACGTGCGCCAAATGACCAAGGAAGGCTGGCAGGGCTTTTCTATCTATGTGCCGTCGGACACGTACCCGACGGACAAGAGCGCCATCATTGCGCAGCAGTTCTGCCCCGGCGGGTGCTCCTCGTGGTGTGGCACCGTCGAGATCGTGAATAATACTCTGCAGACTACGCACCGCGCGGCTTGTTCTACTGGTACGACGGCGACTCTTGTGGATGATATTGACAGAGATGCTTGGCATAGTGTCGTGGTGCATATGCGCGTGTCGGAGGAAAGTGATGGGGCTTATGAGGTTTGGTGGGATGGGGAGCAGGTGTATAGTGTGGAGGATATTGATGTGGGATTTGGGACTTGGGATGATAATGATACGTTGACCACCGGGTGGTATTTTAAGAATGGGGAGTATTGTTTTGGTGAGTTGGTTGATGAGATGACCTAGGGTTGTGGTTACACTTGCTGACTTTTCAATTTACTCTTAGATGTCGACGCATACACTAATGAGACTAGGACGCTCTACTTTGATAACATCACTTGGTATGAGACTGATGATGGGAGTGATGATGGGTATGAGACGGTTTATCCTTGATCAGGGCCTATCTTAAGGGAAATGCGTGTAGTAGTGCTATGTGGTTTGCGTTGGCAAAATCGACTGTGTTTGATAAAGGTGTATCAGCGAGTTGTTAATATACCGAGAAGATAATCTCCCCTTAAAAATTCGAAGCAGAATCTACTTCTGCGCGCTGTTACAGCATTGACCAAGCAAAATGCTCCATCAGGTGGGAGTGGGACCAGCGCACTGACATCGATCTTCATACTAACTTCATACTACCACTGCGTGGCACCTGGAGTGTCTTGTCCTCTTCCGTTTTGAGACCATGTGCCCTATGACCTCGAGTCTTGCTAGGAGCTTCTTTCTAACAGAATCCAAGATCACAACAAGTGAGACAAATGTAAATGTCCCGCACTACGGCCTTGGCGAAGCAGAATTAGGTGAGATCCCCGCACTTTTATGGTTCAAATCTGAGACATTATAGCCTGAACTTAGAGTGGCGATTTATATAAAATCAATGATTCCCTCATTTTCGCCTACTTTTGACATACAATTTTAATGTATCTCAGCCAAAAACATGTCATCTATAAGCGCTGCTCTCGTACGCCGAGGCACCGAAGTCATATCGGCTCGGCTTCAGACCAGCCAACAGCCTCTCATTAAAGAATGGATAGGCATCTTTCTCGTCTTCTTCACTGTTTTTGCTTTCGGCCTTGCAATAAATTGGGTGAGTCCATAGTGATATCAGAAAAAAACAAGTACTATACTCATCAAAGAGAACAGGTCGCCTACACCTGCGCGGAAGTCATCGCAACCCTAGCCGCAATCGAAGACCCCAACTCCAACTCAACTCCCTACATCCACCTCGACAACGAAACTACCAACCCCGATGACCCCGAACTCAGCACCATCACAACCTCCAAGCCAATAACCAGCGACTTCCGCACAGCAATCAACCACCTCCGAACGCTCGGCGGCGGCGGTTTCTTCTCAACCTTCCGCGGATTCCGAATGTATCTCGCCTTCATCTGGCTAGACGCAGGCTTAGCCCTTTTAATCCCAATGTTCATCCCCGTTCCCATCCACATGGGCCTCGTCTCTTTCATGACCGACTTTATCGGCAGAATGTTCCTCGCTACGGGCAAACGGCATGGGTTCATGTAGTCATTGCTGATAAATCCCCTATGGTCAGCTATCGACGAATGCTGGGCTATCAGCATTGGAGAAGAATCGCTCCTGTTGCTGTTCTGCATAATGTTGTCATGTCTGTGACTTACTCGGTGAATCTGGCTGCCTCTAGGTTTGTTGGGAGGGTTATTTGGGTCATTCTTGGTGGTGAGCATGGGAAGGGGTCGAGTGGTGGAAATGCAGAGGGAGGGATTGGCGTTGTTCTCCTGATAATGTTCTTTTTATTGCTTACTGTGCCTGTTAAGGCGATATTCACTCGTGTGGCTGCTTCGATGTTGCCTGAGGGACTTGATCCGATTTTGCCGTTTGATCGGCGGTTTGGTGGTAAGGTGATACCGGAGGGTGGGAGCGAGACTCTGAGTATCATGGAGGCGTGGACAACGTTTGAATGGTCTGCTCGAGTTCGATATTTTAAGGTTTTTCTCAAGGCGCTTGCTCTTGAGGTCGCACTTGGTGTTCTTGGAGGTCTCTTGGTTATTGGGGAGTTGAAGTGGTTGCTTTATTCTCACTGAACACATTCCTCTTGGCTTAGTTCGCATTAGATTGCGCTGGTTGCAATTATACATACATAAGAAACTCTCTTTAGCAGCTAATACACGGAGCCTACAGGGCTTAAGTGAGAGTCGCAGTTCTGTGGTCTCGACTGGAGGCAGCGAGGGCAGATGATGAGTGATTCGAAATCAGGTGTGGCGGACTTTCTAGATATTGAAATGAACAATTGCTCAAACCTCTCACAAAACTGGCTAGACTTTCTGACATAACGGGAGGAGGAGAGAGAAAAAATTGACCAACTTTTCTTACTAGGATCTTTCAAAGAGATGCAAAGCTGCCGAGCAGCTATATGACTCCAAAGTGCTTTCATACATTGTCTAGCTTGCATAGTAGGATATCCTTTACAAATCCTAATCAGGAACTCTCTAGGCCTTCGTTTGACCGTATTTAGCCTCCACATATTTGGCTTCTTTTCTACCAAGCGCGCCACTTGTATACTGCTGCCACATTGCCCTTTGTAGGTAAACACGCATGGCCTTCGCGGATTCCTCGGCTTCCTCAACACCCTCATGATCCGCATCCTCTTCATAGAGACAACCTGGACCTTCATCATCGCTATCACTGTCCTCCCCGGGATTACCGTCATCACGTTTATTATCGCACCCACGTTCATAGGAAGCTTCAAGTGCATCCACAATCTTCCGTTTTCCAACAGACAGAACAACCAAGGCTCCTGCCGCGAGCAGAATCCGAACAATCTCTCTCAAGTTAGCTGCGCGACGGCAGTGAGAGTTTCTGACGGCTATTTTCATTCTCCACGCTACCATGGCCAACACACTACCATAACGAGATTTGGGGAGTGGCAAGTTGACATCAGCCTTTCTGACTTCGACAAGGTATTTCACTGTCTCCAAATAGGCACCACAGCTTCCCGCAGCGGCAGCCAGGGCGCTACCATAGTTCCCGTATTGCAGAGCCAGATTAACATCAGCTCCGCCCTGTTCCACCAAGAATTTTGTGCCCTCCAACCAGTTACGAAAACTGGCAACTGCTAGTGGGCTGCCATAGTAGTTGTCCAAATGCATGTTAACGTCTGCGTGGCCTTCGGAGACCAACAGCTGCACCATATCGGAGTCTTCTTCCATTATAGCCGCTTCCAATGCGCATGTTCTATAGGCACTCATCCTGTCTATCTTCAAATTGACGTCCGCTTTCTGGTTCAACAGAAATCTGGCCGTCTCGACACGTCTTCTATCGGCAGCCTCGATCAGCGGTGTCGACATGGTTGAGCTGCCTTGTATGCCAAGATTTCCCCCTTTCGCCAGAAGAATCCGCAGTGTTGGGATATGGCCATACCTTGCAGCCAGGAGCATGGAGGTGTCACCAGAGTCGTTAGTATTAGCCAGATCTAGCTCAACCTCATTCCACCATCTGTCCGATACTTCAAGGTAGGGTCCATATAAGCACATGACCAGAAGAGAGTATTCAACAGGTTGTAATTCAGAATAGTACCGGGCCCAAACACGATACTGCGCGCTGCTATCCTGTGGAGCACCAAGAAACTTTTCTAGAAGCTTGGTCACAGTAGACAAGTCATCATCCGACACGCCGATATAGCGTAAGTTTGCAATATGTCCTGGCCAGTAACGCGCGACGTAGTAGAGGAATGGTCGCGAAAAATCATATTCTAGGGGCAAGGCGTACAATTCTTCGTCGTCGTTAGGAGCGTGAATGCTCTCGTTCCAACAAGTGTCACTCAACATAAATAGCAAACAAGCTTTGCCCACCATAAAGTTGGTGACTGCAGTAGTCCAGCTGCGACGGAGTTCGAAATACTCTGCGACCGAGAGATGCGATACTCTCCATACGTCCCGCTCGGAATCGATGACCAGGAAATTGCGACACAACGCCAACAATGCATCGTCGGTAATTGGGGTACATAACTCTGTTGTCATAACGTCGGGGTTGATACGGACTGCCTCAAGGAGCAATTCCCGTGAAAGTGGTTCCCGTGCGGCCAGAACCCACTTCAAAGCGCGTAGTGCGAGGTCTCGGTCGTGGGGAGGGTTTTCCTCTATTTCCTCATACAGTCTGTCATACGTCTCGTCGAGAGTTTTGGGAAGCGCTCCCAGACATTCCCGTATAGCTTCAGGAGACATACATTTTCCGAGCTGTTTGAGTTGCAGATAGGTCCATTGAAACCTAAACAACATTAGCAAACTTCGTGGACTTTCACCTAACAAGAGACGCATGTGCTTACATTCCTTGACTTCTCTCTGACAGAGTCGACTCAATTTCATCTCGGAGTTTGCCGAATGCACGGTTCTTTTCAATCAGCTTTAGCATCTCTTGACTAATGTAGGCCTGAATATCTTGGTGGTTATCGGTCGCCTGAATGTCAATGTTTGGATACGAGCGAACCTGCTGCTGAACATCCCCATCAGGACGGCTTGCAATAAATAACTTCACTGGTCTTGTGCTGCTAGAAAGCAAGTCCTGAAACAGCTGAAGGAGGTCACCACGCGAAGTAAGATCGCATTCGTCGAAGGCATCCAACACCAAAGTTGTTCGAGGGTAGAGGTTTAGAGATTCGGTGAGTAAAGTCCTGCAGCGCTTGAAGTCCAGATCCTCTCCACACATGCGCAATTCCCTGTATGTGGACCTAAGCCTAGATTGTATGTACAACGAACTGCTCTTGCTTGCGGAAGCAGACAACTGACGCACGTAGCTCCGCGCTACGGCAAGGGGTCGTGTTCGATTGTCCTCGGTTCGGTTGCAGTAGAAATAGGCGAATCCTTCATCGTTGGGCACTCTTGTGAGAGTATCTTGAACATGATCGATAACCCTTGAAGTAAGGAATGTTTTTCCCACGCCCGCTTGCCAACGTCAGTGTCAAGTCCAAACAGGAGGGGTGTAAGAAGTGATGAAAAACCAATGAGAGTAAAACTTACGAGATCCTCGCAACCATAAGACTGCCGAAGAACTGCTTTCTTCCCAATCTCGGAATGTACCGTTCTGTAAGAGCCATTCACCCGTGCCTGGTGTCCGATTGCCGCGCACATTATTATGATGGGACCCATATTTGACTGGTGAGATCCAGTCTAAAATCTCCATAGCCTCTCCCCATTCAAGCTTTTCCAGGCTTTCTGCAACCTGAGTCTCTATGCGGGGTAAGTGCCTTCGAACGTCCTGGAGGTGGTATAATGTCTTTCCACCTGTCGCTGCACTGCACGCCTGAGCAGTCTTAGCAAGCTCTTCCTCTTTTGCTGTCAGCTCCGAGAATAGCCCCGAGCCTTTGTCGAACATGGTGTCCAAAATCCTAGTCCAAGTCGATTTGGACAGCATATTAATGCTGTAGCTCAATAATTCCAAGATAGCCTGGTAAACATTGACAAGGTTTCGGCGTAGAGTGTCAGCAATGTCATTGTTTCCTGTCGCATAAGCAGACTCATATTCTCTGCCACGATACGTGGCCTGCAGAACCCGCTCTACAGTTCCAAGTAGGGCAACCATTTCATCGGCAAACTTTACAGGAATCTACGCATTCTCAGTCAGAACGCTGCCTGTATATTTATAGACCGCTCCACCAAAAGCTTGCTCGAAGGCATCCTATAGAGAACCTCAAGCTCAAGCACTCGTGGGACCTCCATTCGCGCTGTGTCATATGGGCATAAACCTACCTCCAAAGCTACCTTGATCAACCCCCACGGCCCTGCAGCTTGCGAGGGTGCGAACGGAACGACGAGATCCCCGATCAACTTCACCCATGTCGCACATTTGGCAGCGTAGTCTCGCACGAAGATTTCATTATTGTATTTCCAGGTCTTCTCCTCGCAGAGCACCCGCTTCTCTTGGAGATCATTAAGCAGGATATCTACAGCCCCTGCTTGCTGAGTCTCCGCACCCGGTTCGTATCCCAGGGCTCGAAGTCGATCTTGTGATGTCGGAGGGAGCCTCTCGAACGCTTCTTTCCAGAAATTTTCAGCTTTTCCCTCGTCGCTACCTGATTTTGAGGACTCGGGCAAGCCAGAATCGGGTTTTCGATCTTCACCTGTAAAACTTTTGATGTGGCATGGGGAGTTACTGTTTGACGGCGACCTTCTCTTTTCTGGGAGGCTCCGAGGCACAGCTTCTTCGTGCTGATTCTTGTTCCTGATCGAATCCTCACTTGATATAGAGGCCGTACTTCCTCTCATTGAGAGCTCCTTCACATGTTCAACGGGGTCACGTCGCCTGCAGTCCGGTAATGTGGACTGAGTGTCAGCAGCAGGCTCTTCATGTTGGAAACGTTTTAACCGGCGCGAAAGTCTTGCCCGCCACCGATCCATCTTTGAGTCGCACTTTTACCGTGACTTGGGTAAGTCGTGTGGCAACAGTTTGACCCCAATTCCACTGGGAGGGTATGGGTCAGTTTTTAGTCCAGCTGTCGGGCGCGATCGATTGTGTGTTGGCTCAGCCTCACGCGGGGTTCACGCGCTAAGCAGGTCGATGGGACTATCTATCTTTCTTTCGCCCACTGGCAATTGGCACCAGCTGCACGCATTGCTCTTTCTGGAGAGGCTGTTCGCCCTTTTACCAGGGGCGGCCGCTGATGACGTTTCATTGCTAGACATCTTATCCCCATAGCATTCATGATCAAGGTGGTGCGATCTACAGACTACAACCCCTATCACAGTGTGAATATCAAAAGAACAGGGACTAAGCTCGGTAATCTCAGGCTTGGAACGCTTTGAACATCGAATGCCAGCATCAACTGAGGCAAACTACCAAGAGTAAAGAGGCGGAAGGCACGAAGGGAGTGAAGGAAGGGCAAAAGAGGTTATAACGCTTTCTCCAATTGCGCGGGCGCACGCACACACGAACAATACCGCAGCATCCGCACTCCATTCACTAAATGCCTTTTATCTGCAAGTCGTAGCATCGTTCTGGTCTGTGTGGCCTTCCCCTGTGACTCAAACGGGGCGTGGTTGGAGCCTCTGCCATCGTCTCTAGTCTATTGCCACGGACGTAGGCATGTGAACTTCTTATGCATAGTGTATACTCATCCCTAAGCCCCACGGCGCAGTTTGACTGTATACTCGTCGCTTCACTGTGCCTGCTATAGAGCATCTCAGAGCATGCAGTTCGACTGAAGTGGAAGACTGAAATTATTCAATCTATCTATCTATAAGGTAGCAAACGTCGACAAAGACGGAGATTTTCTTGCAGGTGTGAATGTGCACGGGGATAAGGTGGTCTTGACGCAAAGCGCAGGTCTTGGGGCCTTGCCTTGAAGCATCAAGGCTCAGAATCGATTCAAATTTGACCTTGACGGTTTCAATAATCCATAAAACGTAATCCTTGTTCACAGATTCATCGAACTGAAACGAGATCGAGTTCGAATACCACTCCAACAGCAAGCTTGACATTATCATCATAGAAATGATACATTGTCCGAGTAGATTTCAGACCGCGCTCAAAGCACGGGCCGCGACCGCGGCGCACTAATCCCGATTAGGCTATCCGCCCAACCTCGAGCGCGCAAAGATCGCTGGTGCAAACACCGCGGAGCAATAGGTTGCTACTGCGACAGTTCCAGCTCTTGTCACTGTCCGACTGTCCAGGATGCCGCCCTTCAGAGATGAGCATATCTTGGTACGTGCAGATATCTCCGATCGTCTTCACCATTCATCTAACCCCCTCCTGGCGGACCCAAACTGACCCCCTCCTCCCCAGATAATTGCGCCAGGCTCGCAAGTGACCCTGGCGCAACTGGGTCTCCCAGAGTCATTCACCCCTGCCCGCTTTCGCTTCCCTACGCGCATGTTTCCTGCCGAAAAGAAGGGCGAATACGAACCGTACAAGATCCGCGAACGACGACAGGAAGTCCCCGTCAGCAATGGCAATGGCACCGACGCGCCCAAGGAGGACGTGGAGATGAAAGATGCGGAAACGGCGCAGCAAGACGGAACCGTGAAGACCGAGAATGACCCCTCCGAACAGCCCGAAGATGCACAGAAGACCGAGGGCCAGGATGCCAATGGAGAAGAGAAACAGGGAACGACAACCGAGATCTTCTACGAAGAGGACGTGACCTCCGATGAGGGCGCTGTCTATCCAATCCAGAATGGTCGCATTGTCGACTGGCCCTGTTTCTTCGCTCTTCTGACTCACGTTCACAATACGTTGAGTCCGCCATTCCACACCCCGATCATGCTTATTTCCGAACCGGCATGGTCCGCCCGCGACCGGGAGACCATCACACAGTTTGTCTTTGAGAAGTTCAAGACGCCCGCCTTCTGCCTCATGGACTCCGCTCTCGCTGTATGCTACGGATACGGTACCTCGACGGCTACGGTGGTTGATGTTGGCAAGGGCAAGGTTAATGTCACTGCTGTCACTGATTTCCTTGTTAACGAGCATGGAAGAGGTATTGCGCTGGAAGGCTGCGGTGGTGACTACATGACGGATAGAATTGTGGAGCTTTTGGGCCCGAAGGGATTTACAAGGGAGATGTGCGAACAGTTGAAACGCAGCAACATCACTGAGCTTTTGCCCCCGGGCACACCCCTTCCTGGTGCCGCTGCAACGGCGAGACAAGGCGCTAATCCAGCCGCTTCGGCATCCACTGGGACCAAGGACGGCAATGCGCCAAATGACAACATCCCCCGCGGTCCGGGTGAAGGCACCCAGACCGGTGGTGAAGGCAACGGCGAAGCAGACGAAGATGAGGGAGTTTTGGATGTCGCAGCCATTGTCAGTGGCAACACGAGTGAGTTCCTCGCCAATCGGGAGAAAGAGAAGGCCGAAAAGGCCTCGACCAAGAAGGGCGCGACAGATCAATCCGGCAAGCCTCTACGTCTCCCCAACTCCAAGAAAGAGAAGGCTTCGTTCCAATTTGAGGAGTACGTGAGGATAGAACCTGAGAAGGATACGCCAAATGGACCCGGGCGGTATATGCGTCAGTCTCGCGAGATCGAGGTCGGTGTTGAACGCTTCCTCGCCGCAACTCCCAAGCAGAATTCTGGAGACCGTCTCACCAGCGGTCTGCTTGAGGATATTGCGACTCAGATCCACCACACCATCCTTGCGGTGCCTGATGCGACTAAGCGCAGTGAACTCTGGGATTCGCTTATCGTAGTCGGCAATGGCAGCAAAGTCAAGGGTAAGTAACCCGGCGGATTCAACTTGAAGCCATGAACTAATGTTTCTACAAATAGGCTTCACACAATCCCTGCTCGGCACCATCACACAGAAGTACATTCTCTCCCCATCCGCCACCATGTTCACCTCCGAAATTCCCTCCAACTTCTCTACTCCCCTTCCCACCGGAGGAACCAACACCCCGGTACCTTCCGGCCAGGCTGGTCCGATGAATCACCCTGCGGGTCACGGTGTGAATCCACTGCTTGTCGCAGCCACTCATGCCAACAACCCCATGCCCGGCACTCCCTCCATGGACCCTGCCATGTCGCATCACCGCTCCACGGGACATTCTCAAACCCCCACATCGGTCAAGACACTCAGACCCCCGGAATATTTCCCCGAGTGGAAGGAGCAAAGCAACACCAATGCCCCTGGCGCTGCTACCACGGGTGGGCCTGGTGCCCCAAGCGGTGGCCACGGCATGGAGGAGGCCGTGTTCCTCGGGGCACAGGTTGCATCAAAGGTTGTCTTCGTAATCGACCAAGGCGTCAGCAAGGGATTCATGAGCCGGGTGGAGTACAACGAGAATGGCCCTTCTGCGATCCATGAATACACCATGTGATCACCTTTAATGATTGGCTTACGTGCCTGGGGATTGATGTGCGTGTTTGTTGACATATGAAAGCGGAATTCTTATTTACGGACCTGGTTCTGGTTCCTTTTGATGCTTCCAATTTACGGTTAATTATTTTTTGTCTAACTTCTTTTCCTCGTGGATATTGTATTCTACGTGATGGCGTCTTTCACTAGAAAAGCAAGTCTGACTCGGATGCCAGGATAGGTGGAGTCTGGTCGGATTAGTACTTTGAATAGTATCTCGTTCAATGAACTGATGTAGTTGCTTTGGGTAAGCAGCCGGAGCCATGGGCGTAGGAGCTGATAAGCCTAGGAGCTACTGATGCTAATTTATGGCAGACTGACTCGGTTAGCTATGTAGGTAGGTATAGATGCCTCTACTATTCTCTCACAAGCACTGCACCAACAACAACAGCTTAAACACCCCCCTCCAATACTAGCTTTAGGATGTTTGCGAGAACTTCGGGAGACGGGTAATGGATAACGCGAGGGAGTGACTCTATGTGGTGATCGACCAGACGTACGGAAAGATGGGTAGGAAACTAATCTTCTCTTTACAAGCTATACATTTTCATATATCTCCCACATAAGCCGTATACTTCAATAGTAAAGCATTTCACCCCAAGAAAACATCCACCTCAATCTCCAAATTCTGCCCTTCAAACGGCAAGGCCTCAATCCCCAACATAGTCCAAGTAGGCTGGTGATCCGGACACCACTTCTTAACATTCTCCACCATCAGGCCAATAATCTTCTCTCGGGTCTGGGGCAACTGGACATGGTAGGTGCGGATCTTCACGACGCGGTCCCAGCCGCTCTTGACGCTAGCGCGCAGATCGGGCTTGGCTTTCTCTAGTGTGTAGAGGATAACTTCGTTGATGTTGTTGAATGCTTGCGCAACTTCTTCTTCGAGGGTGGGTGGGACATCGGTTGATGTCGGGGACATGCCGGCTAGAATGTTGAAGGGGGGGTTGGATTAGTCGGTGATGAGGGGAATGGAGGGAAAGGGGATGGGGGCTCACTCTGGCCGGCTATTTCCATTCGGTCTCCGGCTATGCAGGCTTCGGCGAAGCCGTAGGCGTCTTGGAAGTGTTGGCCGCGGCCGGGGCGGGAGTAGCTGGGGATTGGGGACATGGTGGTGAGGATGGGATGGTGTGGAGATGTATGGGGGGTGAGTGAGGAGGGTTGGATGAGAATGGAGATTGATTATTTGTTTTAATGAGTGGCCATGGTTATTTATGTTGGGAGACTTGTTCATTGAAGTTGTCGCTATCAACGCTAGTTGCAGTAGTGCTTACTAGCTATCAGGGGTCCTTCGCGGAATAAATTAAATCAACCTAACTGACATGGATGTCTATGTTATGCAATGAATAGAGTTTATACAATTCCACTGTTAGTCGTATGTATCAATTGTTTGATACTGATTGATAATTTATAGTTTTAGTGATAGAAATGACAAGTGTCCACCCACGATCTGCATAGCCACATCTAGCTAAGAACAACGCGTTCAACAACATCCCCGTTTCATCTCAACCCCACGTCGTCGTCTCATTGATAGGTGAAATCACAGACCAAAGCACATGTCACTTTGTCCTGCCCCTTGATTTGCACAACCAAAGACACAAACGCTAGCAGTAAGCGATTTGTCGGCATTGCAATGGAATAGGTATCCACTCCAGGGGGCATTTCCTCCCTGACCAGCTCTGTTCAATGCATCGACGATTGCCGCATCATTTCCCCCTTGTTGAAAATATCAGTATAATTCAGAAGCAGACCTCCTTAAGCGGATGTGACCCACCAACGTCTCCAAGGACTGAGGAGCAGTAATCAAGGCCGGGGGTACAGTTTCCGGTTACGGCGGCATTTGCGGAGGCTGCCAAAGCGAGAGCGCCCAATGCAGGGATGAACTTCATCTTGTAGTAGTAGTAGAAGAAAAGTTGATATAAACACTTGTGATTGAAGACTGGAGGTAGTTAGACTGAGTTGGAAGCTGAATGGATAGTAGATGAGATTCTTGGGAGACGGGAGGGGGGCTTTTATATCTTGAAATTGTACACCGAATACGACTATTTCCCTGAAAGGTAGTAACACAAATTGGTTAATGTTGTTCTCTAGGATAGGCTGAAGGCCCCGCATCTACAGATAATCTCCCAATTCCTTGAATTCACCCTAAATATTCTACTTCCAATAGTCTCCTCTGGGTACAGCGCAACCCCATTGCCACTGAGGGAACGAGGAATACCAAGCTACGATTCTAGCACATGATGTCAACCAGCTGAATGCTTCAGCATTCCATTTCCTGCCATTGTGGGACATGGCATCGATCCACCCAATAAATGCTCCAGATCGGCAGCCCCATGAGGTGGATACTGCGTACGGCTGAGGCCCGCATAGATTTTCCGGGGCGAGCTGAGATAAATTCCAGTCTTGATCGACGCAGTTTGGGGGAGGGTTCTCTTCCTCTTTACACGATTCGTCAGTTATCATCTACCTACCCATCCAAAACTGATCGTAGCCGCTCTACCCGTACGCTAGTTTAGTACGGTGTATCCAGACCCCGAATTAGTGTGAGACTCCGCTTCTGGGCATTTGATGCCAGATCCCGGCCGGACATACTACTCACTCAATGCGGGTCTATGATAGTAATAACTACCGGCTTTATCTGGCTTTCTGCACAGTTGCAAGAGCATCTGGAAGCGGCGGCTTGTCACTCGAACAGGGAAATCCGGTTTCGATGCGCGATTTTAATTGATACCCAGTATCCGGCCAAACACGCGATGTAACGTTGAAGCGTCGATCAGTGAATGTGAAAGCATAGCTTTTGCTCCTAGCAGCATAAACATCTGTGCATCTTAGAACACCTCACTCCTCACCAGACAATTCCATCGGTAGTTCTGGTGTAGTGTTGAAAGCCTTCAAACCTACGTCTTCCGTGCCAGCGTTCTCCCTATCTGTAATAATCTCCGACAAGGCGACATCATCTTGAGGTACGTAAGCTGACGAGGACATGCCGACATAGCTGCTTCGGTAGCGATGGGTGTTCTTGGTGCGGCGGTAGATGATCGCGAAAGCTGGAAGGCAGCCGACAATGACAGCTAGCAAGAAGGATTAGCATACCAGAGAGCAAAAGAGGCGTCCTAATCCACACCTATCCCCGCCTCAATCATACCCCAGAATGCCAGCCAGGAACTGCTCGGGGTGCTGTCGTTGTTGGCGCGAGTGCCAATCTGGATGACTCGCACGACGGCCATGATCACGCAGATGGTGCCCAAGGCAAACACGGCGGCGACACTAATCTTCTGGCCCAGCGGAAGACGCAGCGACACCACCAGCCGCAACGGCAGCACCATGACTTGCTCACTCAGCATTGTATTTTGATAAAACCCTGGAAGAGCGACTCACTCATTATGTCGCTAATTGCATCGACCGCAAAGCTATAATATAAGCTGGCAATCTCTGCCACAGCATCTCGGTGTGTACTGCACTCCCCTTCGCAGCTGGTCAGTACCCACACCTGCAGGGGAGAAGGAGCACTGACCAACGGTGAACCATGCATGCATACTTTGGCATGAGGTAAAGTTGGAGATAACTGCCCCAATAAAGGTCCAAACAGCTATCAGCTAACGTTCTCACACACGATAGCTCGATCTATGGGCGCACCACGATGCAGAAAAACAGTACCGCATACCACCACTTCATCTCACCCGGCAAGTCCTGGAGGAGTCGGCGATAGAGGAACAGAAAGGATAGCTTGACGGACCACAGCGACGCCCATAATAGCATTGTGTTCGCAAAGAAAACCTTAATCATGAAAAGAGCATCGGACAGCATGGTCGCCCAAGGACCGATCTTGCCATCGGTATACGCATCGATTTTGTACACAACCGGGGTGACGATAATGTACGCAATGCTCATGGCCAGGAAGCAGGCCCACGACAGCAGAATACAACCATCTTCGACCTGTAGCGACCGTAATTTCCAGAAAATCAAACTGAACCGAGCAATGACCACCGCCGACGACAAGGCGATCATGGTATAGCCGGTGGCCTGCACCTGGCTGGCTGAGACATAATTTCTTTCCATCCGGACTGATTCGGAGCGATCGCCAGCGATGTCCAAGTCCTTTGACGGCAAACATCCCTTTTTCATATTCTGCCGACAGCCCGGATGGTAAGCATCCGACGGGCAACGGAGATGCATTAGCAAGTGCCAATTTCACGGATAAGACTAATTTGGGTGTCATCCGCCATCAAGCGAGGCGGACGGCCGCTAAGGAAAAGCCGGCGGTATAGCGCCCTGTTTTGGGAAAGCTACCATGGCGGCCTATAAAGGAATGAGCCCCCTGCAGTAAGTCAACGCCTCCTGAAACTCCACGACTTCCTGCTCTAATCCTTATCTCCATCCTGTTCCTGCCAAGCACCATGCGAGCCGGCGCGCTGTTCATCGCTACGCTTCTGGCTAGAGCGACAGCGCTGGACAACACTACCAGTCGCATTGTCGCTAAATTGGCATCTTACGGAGTTGATGCCTACGAGTATTTCAACTCCAGCGTGCTACTGGACTCGTCTTTGAGCACGCGGTCGTTGGGATTTTGCTCCGAGCTGGTGAGTTATTTCCCGTCTTCCTGCGTGCTAAAACCGGACGATGGCACCCGAACCCTGTCTAGTCGTCGGGCTAACGCATAAGCACCAAATTGACAATTTCACTAATTCGACCAGTGTTCCGCACTTCCCCGGCTCTATCCCGGCCACGTGCTGCAACGCTCAACCACGGCTTACTCGACTTGGGATGCCAGTTTCTGGTCGCAGCAGCAGGAGGAGGTTGATCCAGCCTGCGTTTTCCAGCCAGCCAGTACAGTGGAGGTTGCTGTTGGCCTGCTGCTGTCAGAGCTGACGCTGTGTCCGTTTGCTGTCAAGAGTGGCGGTCATGCCGCCTTTGCCGGCGCCTCCAACATCCAGGATGGCTTGACGATAGATCTGGTCGGGCTGAACTCTACTGCCTTGTCCAGAAATTCTACTATTGCGTCTGTTGGTGCGGGCAACCGCTGGTTGGACGTCTATGATTGGCTAGACCCCATGGGCTTATCGGTCATTGGTGGCCGTGTGTCCGACATTGGCGTGGGCGGCCTGACGCTGGGAGGTAAGTGATAGATCATCACAGGCAAGAATGTAAGTTAACGAGGCATTGCAGGAGGTATCTCTTTCTTCTCCGGTTTTCACGGCTGGGCCTGTGACAATGTTGCCAACTACGAGGTAAAGCGATCTATATTGCTTATCATTACTGCTCTAGTATCTGACGAGATTGGTCTAGGTCGTTCTGGCTGACGGTAGCATTGTTGATGTCAACTCTGACACACATCCCGATCTTTACTGGGCCTTGCGTGGTGGCGGCAATAACTTGGGCATCGTTACCCGCTTCGATCTGACCACGCACACTCAGGGCCTCATGTGGGGAGGCTCACGCATCTGGCTGGAAGAGTATCAATCGGACATCCTACATGCCCTGGTTGACTTTGGTTTCAATTCTCCTTCGGACCCCAACGGAGCACTGATTGTGTCGGTAGCCTACGCTGAGGGTCTCTACCTGTTCGTCGCGGACTTGGAGTACGCAAAGCCGGTTGCCAATCCCCCTATTTTCGCGAACTTCAGCAGCTCGGGGGTTCTCGAAGACACCATGGCCATCCGCAGTCTGTCCAATATCACACTTCTGTTCAAGGAATCCAATCCCAACGGACTACGCGAGAGCTATTGGACAGGCACCGTCCAACTCGACTATGATCTTGCAACCAACATCACCAACATGTTCAAGCAGGAACTCGTCCCCATTCAGAATGTGACCGGCATCGTTCCCGCCCTTGTCTGGCAAGTTATCAGCACCAACACTATGGAGCACATGGCCAAGAATGGGGGTAACGCGCTAGGACTCGATCCGAAGGACGGACCATTGCTGCTGATCAACCTTGCTTTCATGTGGGACGATGAGGCTGATGACGCTGCAGTGATGGCTGTCTTGGGCAGGATCACGCAAAAGGCGCTCTCGGCTGCGCAAGCCCGTGGTCTGGGCAGTCGCTATTTGTACATGAACTACGCGAGTCAGTACCAGTCCGTCGTGCCCTCTTATGGCACGGCCAACCAGGCTCGCTTGCAGGCGGTCGCGAAGAAGTATGATCCCTTGCAGGTGTTCCAGAACCTGCAACCGGGCTATTTCAAGCTTGACGGGGCGCCAGCTTTGTAGATAGTCTTCGCGGGCAGGTATTTCAGGAAATACGATATTATTTTCTAAGCTAATTGCTGTGGATGACAGCAAGCTTGGCGCTTCAGGTTAGCGACTGTGACTGAACCCTTATCAATTTCAAAGCTGGGGTTCCTCCAAAAGATAAAGTTACATGAAAATTATCTCATGACACTATACTAAGAAATGAAATCTGACTCCGACAGCACATTAGTTCTTTAAAGTATTAAGCAAGGTCGTTCGTGTCGATGTTATAATATCTGTCAATTTCGACTAGTCACCCTCCTATGAGATTAGACTGAGAAACGGGAGCACCGCCTATTTATAGTTACTTCCACCTCCCTATAGTGACGATCGAGTCTTCGGCACTAACCATGCAGTACGGAAGCAATATTCATTCATTCATGCTGGCCACCAGCGAAATCGCAATTTAATTCTTTGTTTCAAGAATCCGACTGCTGCAAATCATCAATACTGCTCACTTATTTTCCAGCCCTCCAAGAATGTCTAGATTGCAGCCTCACTGTCTTTGAAAGTGTCTATCTGCTTAGCGCCAGCCAGTTTCAGACACACCTTATGAAACACGACAACATGAGATTTGATAAGCTGAGGATAAGCGCCCAGCTAATGCAGACGTCTACTAGCCAACTATTCAGTACCCTACACCACACAGCAGTTGATTCTCACACAGTAACCTCTCAGCCTTGCGCCTATACATTCATAATAAAATGATAGCCTTACGACATGCCGCCCAACAAACCAACACTCACCTAACACCCTCCCCATCCACCTCGCCCAAAATATCACTTTTTGACCTCACCTACCTGAGATAATTTAATATGCAAATGTCCTCCACCCACCCCAACACCTCCTACACCCTCGCCTGGATCTGCGCCCTCCCCGAAGAATACGAAGTCGCGATCGCCTTCCTCGATGAAATCCACGGCATACCACAGCATCAACCTCTCGAAGATAAGAATGCCTATCTATTAGGGAGAATAGGTCAACACCACGTCGTGATGGTCTGTCTGCCTGCAGGACGGATGGGGACAGCGGCTGCTGCTTCTGTAGCGGAGAATCTGTGTCGGACGTTTTGGTCAGTGAGGTACGGGTTGCTTGTTGGTATTGGAGGTGGTGTTCCCGGTGTAGTCTCCGGGAAGGATATTCGGTTGGGAGATGTGGTGGTTAGTGTTCCGGGGGGTGGGAATGGAGGGGTTGTGCAATATGACCTTGAAGACGGTGAAGTACACCATGGGCAACTCAACTCCCCGCCGGAGAAGTTGCTATCTTATGTGACGCTGCTGAATATTCTTATGCGGAGTCCGAGGATATCTGGGAACTGCTTTCGGGAGCAGTTGGAGCTTCTTGGGCAGGAGTATGAGTATCCTGCTCATCTTGAAGATAGGTTATTCTGTTCACGGTATTGGCATCAGTTTGAGGGAGGCTGCGAAGCTTGTGGCAATAATTGTGGTGAAATATACAGGAATAAGAGGGATGATACACTACCTGCTGTGCATTTAGGTACGATTGCTTCAGGGAACACGGTTGTTGGTGATGGAGTGACGAGGGATATGATAAATCATCGATATGGGAACTCCATTTTGTGTTTCGAAATGGAGGCTGCGGGAATTATGAATGCCTTGCCTTGTTTGGTTGTTAGAGGTATTAGTGATTATGCAGACTCGAGGAAAAACGATGAGTGGCGGCCGCGTGCTATTGCTGGTGCTTGCAGCTATGCAAAGGCTTTGATTTTGCATATTCCGCGGGAGGAGGTGCCGCAGCACGAGAATCTCGTACATGTGACAGATCTGGGTAAGTGGGGTACTTTATTTCGAGCTATGGGCTTTACGCTAACGGCTTTCCGTGTTAGTCAAAGACATGCGTGACGAATTGGGACAGATAAAGGCGGCTATTGCTGGTCTCTGGCATTTACAGAAAGGTGATTCCCATAACAAAGAGCTTTATTTTCGCTTCAAATGAGCTAACTACAGTATAGGCGATGAGTATACAAAGAGTCACACCGTTTACCATCGTCTGAAGACTCTGGCAAACAGAAGCGTGAGCATCACTGCAAGCATCACTAGCAGGATAACTTTTCCTTATTATGGATTTATGCAAGCGAGTCAGTATCTGAGACATTGGATATCGCTATTTTTCGACAATCTAAAGCGGTATATCTGGTCAATACGACCTGGCCAGCCTTCAAGGGACAGGGGGAGCGGCCCTAGTGGTGGAGCACTCCCTTCCGTACTTTCGATCCAAGGATGGGGATGGCATCTCATTGCAGAGCCGCATGTGTGGATGTCCTCGTGATATATATTGAAAATGCTCGAGCAGACCTTCGCTTGAATGAGGATCAACACATGCCCGCCTCAGTACGAAGATAAAGTCGAGCGAGGTTCGTGATGTGGCTCGTATGGAGGGGTCAAGAGGATGCCGAGACTTGCAAATTGGCAGGTTCCGACACTTTATGCTCTCGCTTGGTCGCGCGATCATCTATTTAGCCTCTCTGCCTTCAAATCGACACTCATTTTCGTTTTCTATTGGTCCGGAAGCAATTCCACACACGGCTCATCGGCCTCGTATTTGTGCCGATCAGACGAGATTTAGTATGGCCTCGTCTTGGCATGACAGATATATAGACCCTGAGCTGAAAATTTAGCCGTATACAAGATGGATAGGGGATTCGAATCCCAACGCGGGAGATGGTGAGAACAATCTGTCAGGACATCGTCACGAACTACTGAAATTTGGTCAGCACACTGGGAGTACTTCAAATACATCCCCTGAGCTATGGCGGAACTCACAGTTGGCTATGTTTCTGGCATCATTGCTGCTGGCGTGTTTCTTGGTCGGTGAATCCAGCCCTGAAGAGCTAACATAGGCTAACTGCTTCAAGTCCGTCTGTTTATTCCAACAGTGATATGTCTCTTAATTATTGGCCATCTACCCGCTGAAAGTTCGGTCGTCTCTTGGTATTGATTTCCTCTCACGGACTTGGTTCATAAATCGATCCACTGATAAAGCTGTAGGTCAGTCGTTAGCCGGCTGCTTCACTCATCATATTGGCCCACCATACTTGATTCAGATACCGCCGCCAGCACAGGCGTCAGCAAGAGAATCCTCACCTATTCCTGGCTTCAGTTGATCGCAGCTGTCCTAGTATCAATTACCGGTATCGTCACCCCTCTTGGCCTCTACGACACGATCGGTCCCCAAGACAACCCCACAGATGTTCTCTTTCACTACGCACCCGATACATCAGCATTTGGAAAGGCAACCCCTAGTAGGGATGGATATAAATCACTTCGGATATGCTATGCCGATGAGGATCCCGATACCCCAGAAGGCTGCCCCGGCGCACCGCCGAATCGCGCCGACATGGAAGACATCACTGAAGCGTATTCCGTTTGGCCTAGCAGTGTCAGCTTATTTACGAGCGGAAACGTGTCAGCGACAGTCTCCAGTGTGTTTGATGTCCAGTGGCGGTCGTTCCGTTCATCAACGCAGATAGTACCAGGCGCTAGCGCTACAGGGAGTGTATTTTCTCAGGGCTATTATCGACAGATCTCTCAACTAATTTTGGATGAAGACCTGTTGGCTGTCGAGGGTTTGATTGTGGATAGCAAGGCTGGACGTATTGGTTTCCGTAACCATACTATCCCTTCGACTTTGCCAATGGGAGCTGAGTGGACAGAGGATATCCTATTCATCGAACCTGAAACTCGCTGTGTCGACACAAATTTGACAGTGGATTACAACTACGATCCCCAGGCACAATATAGCAGCTACAGTACCGACGACATCTATAACACCGATCTTCGGAATCTGGCTCTAGTTGATCGCGGTGGCTTCGTTAATCTATCCCATGAAAGGTACAGTATCGATGCTAGCAATTTTCAGGAGGATGCTGCACTGTACGAGCGTGCCTACAACGCTGCATGGAGACACAACATGCTCATAATGCAGTACTTCAACGTGACAACTAACGGTTCAGACGGAAGGGCACCATTCGCATATATGCACTCAGAAATGGGAAAGAGGTTCAGTCTGGCAAACATGTCTAGTATAATCGTCGAGCCGATGACTGTCCAAACAGACTCCGGGTACGGTAGTTTCCTCGACGTCCCAGACGGCTTTACCTTGTCAGGAAACTTCTCGAGTGGACAGCCCGAGAACCCGTTGAACCTCAGCACATATGACGTCTACGCCATCGGCAGTGAAGCCTGTCACTACCCCTCCGATAAGGCTCTCTCGAACATGTCATTCGTCGGTGTGGCCTGTGGTACTGTGTTTGCCGCTCCTCGTAGACTCGACGGTGATTCGCTCATTCCAGACACAAATAGCACCTGGAGCACCCCGCTATACTCCTGCGCGGCGGCAACTAAGGCAGCTGTTCGAGAGGTCACTTTCCGGTTCAACGGTACCGGAGGGCTAGACAAGTTAGTCATCCAGAGCATCAACGAAAAGAAGTACAAAGACCCTTCCGAGCTTCCACTCTGGGGTGTCGAACGACTGAAGAACCACACACTACAAAACGTAAGACCCTTATGGGGTCTTGTCTCACCAGAAGTCGGCGCTCGCGACGACATCTCCACAGTACAACGAGACTACCTGTGGCTACCCGGCTACGCAGACCTCCTCACATCTGACACCATAGCCGGCGAGCCAAGCATGCCCGGAAACCTGTTCTACACACAGAGACTCCTCTCACTATTCGACATTGCAACCCTCAACCAAGCCACCTCTCGATACACAGGATCCGGCGACCTGGCTTTATACAACCGCTGGTTCGAACTATCCTCCTCCGCCAGCGGCGTCGAGAAAATGCTCGGGCTGATATGGACCGACATGACCGCCAATACCGTTGTCGGGACACGTGGCTGGCATAATGCTCCAAGCCAAACCTCCAAGAATAGTAAGAGGATGTCAAAGCGAGATGTGGGAGGGGTAAGCGTGCCGGTAACACTGTGGTCGCGGAACATCAAATATCACATTCCTTACGCGATCCCGGCGTTTATAGTGCTGGCTCTTTCCATTGCGCTTGCGGGTTTTACCATCTGCCTTCTTATTCTACGGCGTACCGGGCTAGGACAGATGCGGTCTTACCTTGCTCGTACCTCGCCTGGTAGGATACTTGGAAGTGCGCTGCATCCAGATCAGGCGGGTGTTCTTGCTTCCACAAAGACCTGGATTCAGCAGGTGGGTGTGCGGAAGGCCACTCTGCCGGGGCAGAAGGAGGATGGTACGATTCCGTTGTTGGATATACCTGCTGCTGGCGAAGAAGGGGTTCGAGATCGGAAGTAAAATCCGCTGTTTGGTTATATTTAATCTGGGGCGTTTCTCGCAATAAAATTGGAGCCTTGGACATGGAATTAGCTCGGGGAGGGGAATGTAGTGCGGAGCTGGTCAAGGAGCTTTAATATGGGCGCAAGGTTCCGGGGGTTCTAATGCGTACGGCTATCAACCCTCCTCATAATTTCTAAAAGGCTATAAGTGGCCGGGATTATAATTCCAGGTTCAGCTTCGGACTAGTATGCGGGGCAGTCTGATATACGATGTAGGGGAAACACATTGCTAGTTTAATATGGGATTAGGCACCCAAAGAGATTTGTCCGGCTCTCTTAGCGGGAGAAAATGTAAGAGTATAATAAATAATTGGGAAAATTCAAAAGGCTTTGTCTTCTTTTGCCCTTTTCATTCTTGTTTCAGTTTTTCTTTTGTTCAGCCGCAGTGACAATCACCCTGACTCAATCAATGTCTTGGCATGCAGCAGGAGCTAATCTGCGGCTGACTCGACAAGTTACATCAACATCAACACAACGCCACCCCTCATTGCCACACTCTCTATTCCTACAGCTAAGTAGTAAATACAAGCCATACGGAGTAACTCGGATAGATGTGCAGCATCCAGATGCTGGTCTATCCAAAGGGTATGGGATCAACAGGCTGTGGCACAAATTGAGCGTCAACGCCAGCCCCATAATTTCATGAAAGGCTAGTAATGGTCCTCCGAAGCTATCTTCAAAGTGGCAAAATGCAGTCTCTCTCTCCCCTTGTTTCGCCCCTCTTTTCCTCTCTCTAATGGTACTCAATGGCACTACGCACTAGTGGGCTCTCTCGGGACCTGCTCGGTCACAAGGTATGGATAGTTTTATGTGTGCCTGTTGCGATCTGCATGCTTCCGCATAGACTAACAATATCGCGCATCAAGATAACGCATTCTCTATGTTCGATTCTCAAATTGCTGATTCCCGGCGCTTTCAGAGTGTGAGGGGAGTGTATTAAGCGACCAAAGCCAATGTTCTTGATGAGCTTGGAAAAAATATTGGTGGGTTGATCATTGACAAAAGAACCTAATGGCTAGGACGTATTCGCGTATTTGGCATCTGGCATCAAATGCGGAGAGCAGGGATATCGGACTACTTCTGTGCTGAATACTCCCGTCCAAGGTGGAGGCATATGGTGTAGGTCTACTGAGTAGTAGCTGAGATCTGTCGATCAAGGCTGAGAGAGACCGATGACCCCACAGGCTTTATCCTGAACTCATATGTCAGTTTTTCCAATTTTGTGCGCTAGATGCAAGATCATGGAGTTCATTCCAACATGCCGGAAATTCCGGAAGGACATATGAACGCAACTCCTCCGTCCTGATAGAATAGTACTGTATAGTTGCATCTTTGATTGGGTGGTCTCAAAGTCATGTGGCATATTGCCAGAAAAAGAGATGCTATACTATTGAGTACTTTATGCCGGACTAAATTAGTGTCTTTATGCGCCCATTAACTAGATTGATATCTTTTCGAAAAGGATCTGCTGGAGGCGGAGGTGTGTCCGAAATGGGACATTCACAGTGCAACTACTACTACGGCCAACCATCTTTATCATTAAGGAAACAGCAGTTACTCTCTCAATGACCGAAGATATAAATATCCCCTACCTGTTCCGTCAAATCTGCTCTTTGCTTCTATCTATCATCCTCAAGCTTCCAAACTAGCCTGAATACTGCTTTCCAATAAATCTATCTTATTCCATCTTCTTCGGTCTACCTCCAACCCTCCCTACAAGATGAAGCTCACTACTACCGCATTTGGTACTTTCGCACTCATCGCCGCCGCGAATGCCGCCGTGACAGGACACTGCACACCTGGTTTGAATTACTGCTCCAGAGTGCTCGAAGACGTCGGTGAGCTAGATTCCGCTTATACGATGGCTTTCCGTGAAGATACTGATATATACAAAGGCGGCAATCATGCGGCGATCGCTGATGGATTGACCAGAGATGGTTATACGTCAGCGGCCCAATATCCAGTTATGTGGAACGAGTTCTTATTCCATTGCAACAATGATCAATCGATTTCTGTTGTTGGAGCTTGTTATGGGAGTTGCCGGAACAATGGCAGTGGTCAAAGTGACACCTGCGCCTAGTGAATTATCACCCTGCGTGGAATTGGAATACCTGGATTGGGAAAGTCTGAGTCTATACGATTCTTATTTCGAATTCGGGTACTTGGTTGGTTATGCATTCTTCAGCAAGGAGTATATAGTACTACGTTTGTTTTGTACATAAACTGTGGTATTATTGTTTATAAGAAGAAACCATGCACTATTGACCATCCAATTCATAGGTTGGCAGTAAGACCATGTTATCGATATCTCGAAGAGTCCTGCAAACAAAACTTTGAAACATGGTCTGCAAGAAGAGCAAGAAAATGTCAAACTATCAGTAACCACCATGGTGAAGCGTCCGATGACTCCTCGCCGAGGCAAGCGACGCGAACGACCTCCTGCAGTCCGTACACCGAGAATGCTTCTCCGTATCATGCTGTCTCAAACTTTTCCGATCATTGAAAGGTTTACAACATTCCAGGCAGAACCTCTCGCGATAAATACAATAAACATCACGACAATATAAGACAATGGTAGAGAAAGAAAATATTCTTCATGATCTCTATATCCAGGTTCGTCATTATCCTATGCCATAAACGTAAGCCATGATGGACGCCTGTTGCTTTCCTTGGGTCAATCTTCATGATCACCTACCGTAGTTTCGTTTCCACACGAGCCATTCGTTGGATCAATGATGTGGAGAAGTCGTATGAAAATAGTGGAAATTCAATGCGCACCTCGTCAAATCGAGGCAACTTTATAAGCGTAGCAAGATGCTCTACGGCGAACTTGGCTATTGTCTCCCGCAGCTTCGAGTTTTGTGGGCTATCCAACCCGTAGACTTTCTCGATAATGTGGATGAATTCCTTGTTGTCCCAGACTAGGGTAAGTCTGTACTCCAGCTTCTTCTTTGCCAGGGCCATAAGTGGTTCAATGGCATATTTATCAGCAACGTTGTACATTTCTATATTGACATGCGCCTTGGTGGTAGGAGATTCATAGTCAGGATTCGTGGCAAGGTGACTCTTGTCCGGAGAATCGTCGTAGTCTCCACGATAGAAATAATCGATCATTTTCTTGATGATCGTGGGATCGTCGTGGATAGTAACGATATTTGTTTTGGCCTCCTGTAACTCGTTAGAGTCATACATGAGATATGCCATGTGCTCACCTGAAACTCCCCACACAGGGCCTTCTCGAAGAATTCCGATTGCGGACAGATTATACAGCGATGGACTTTGAAAGTCGATGAATGGCATTTTATTTCGACGTCGGAATATATTCCATTTCGGATGCTAATTTTTTGTTGCGTTAGCTGGTATCTAGAAAGAAAAAAAAATAAAAATAAAAAAATAAGGCTCTGGAAGATATCACTTCGATAGGATGGCAAGAAGGGTGCTAAGATTGGTGGCCATGCTTTTCAACGGCGCAAGCAAGTGCATTTTTGACGGATGAGCGAGGATGCTTAGATGTTAAGAAGAGTAAGTCAATGGTGATATTCCAATCACTCGAATCAATACGTCACGATTCAGGGTAATTCTAGGGTCATGTTTACGTTGTGGACGGATACGCGCTGTGGGCTTCCGTACCAATGAAGACTATGGGGTAGAATAGGTTTTTGTACTTTGTGCATTCAGAGCTCTACATATGTTAGCTTCATGTCTTTATATAAGGGGAATAGAAGATGTTGCAATTTTTTTACGAGTTGTCCCAACTCAACGAGGTTCGGTGACCGCTAAAATATTACACATCCTACAGGAGGGCTTTTTACCCCAAGGTTTGCGGTCACACTGTTAACAACAACCAGTGCTGATTAACCTAGTAGTAGCCACAACTACCCCCGGAGCCTCGATCACCAGAAGACAACAACGACTACGCAATGTCAATCCGGAGATCCTGCTCGAATCTGGGCTATATCCTGGCGCCTACCAAACGCTGCTTGTTAATCAGGTCTGTGAAGCGACACCACCTAGAGCTCCGACCAAAATTGACTCGCAGAAGACTGTCGTTGTGAACATCGGTTCAATTGGGCACATATAATCGATAAGGCATTGTTGGAGCTTATTCAATTAGCTATCAACCGAATACAACTACTTCATCTGAGTGACAGAAGAACGCCACCTTGTATAAGTGAGGCGCATACGTGATTACTTGATCTGCATGGGATAAACATCATCCTGTGTAGGCAAGATCCGGGTGCATCAACGTTTCGGAATCTTCCAGTGGGGGAACCATCGAACCTTGATCGAATTGCGGTTCCACTACCTCACAGACAATTCCTAATTCTTTATATGCTTTCCCTCCCCGAAAAGTCGTACAGTAGATGGGTGTGTCGGATGACTGATCCAAGGCAGCCTTGAAAAGGGAGTAAGATTTTGGCGCGGGGTGTGTGGCTATGCCATGTAATCAACCAAGCTACCTAACGTTACTAGTAAGCTCATCTCACCCGGGAGACAACTACCCGACATCCGGCTGCATCTTACTCTTCCCAAATAAAATCACTATTCAAATACCTGAACTCGCTGCCTCCAATCCCTCTCTGCATACTCTCTATACCCTATCTACCCCCTATCTTTCCAGTACCATAAAAACAAATCAAAATGGCCTCCGGACTCATCCTCAACCCGCACAACCTCCTCCGCGCCGCCCCACTCGTCTCATCCACCTGCACCCTCTGGTTCGCATTCGACCAAGACCTCGTCCTAAATGTCTTCCTGCACCCGGACCACCGTCCCCGCAGCAACGAAATCCTACCATCTTATTTCAACGTCCTCTTCCGCCGCGGCGTTGTCCGCGTCGTAGGCCTCCTGGCCCTCTCCATGGCGGGAGGCGGATACAACATTCTAAAGGACCGCCGATCAGGGGTAGTCGCGGGACTCCAATCATCCTTGTCGTGGTATGTAGCCGGCACGGTGCTTGCCGCTAGTCATCTGCTTTATGTGCCTGTTATTGCTCCCAAGGTGCTGGCCATCATGGAGGATTCGTCGAAGGGTTCCTCGACGGAGGATCTGGAGGGTTGGTTGACTATCCATCGTGTAAGGACTTGGACGGTGGATTTCGCAGCGTGGGCTTGTTTTGTGGTGGGGTTGGGGTTGGCCTAGTGTATATGGATTATGGGGATCGATGTGTATGATGTAATGGGGTGGAAATGTACTCATGAGTACTCATGTAAAATGCGCAATGATATTCGATGCAGTCTATAGATTCGTATTTCTCTGTGATCTCCACCGCATGCCATATCTTCGTATACACCAGACAGCTGCTGCACCACACACTGCACTCATGATGCCAAGGGCGGTAAAATACCACCCTAATCCTGCAGCATCCATCAGAGGCTGCAGGCTAGTCACTCCTATTGCTGCCATAGCACACCGTGTTATGCTTGCACTTGCTGCGGCAGTACTCGGGTTCTGCGGGAAGATATCGACCAACAATGTGTTGTAAACAGTGTAGAAGCACGTACCCTAGAACCCTTGGATTAATTGCAGGATCAATAGAATTGAAAAATGCTTTTCATTTCGCGCAGTCCAGCCGTAGGCGATCAATGTGCTAGTGGAGAAGAGAAGAAGGTAATAGATACCACGAGACCGCGCTAGTTCGATTGGGAACTCACGCAGATCATCGCCATGGACTCGATCAATTGGATGATTATGTTTGCGGGCATCGCTTCATAGTTGTAATCCATTATTCGGCCATTGCAATAGCCGCCTCCGATGATACCAATGCCTTGTGGAAAGTAAGCCAGGCCGGTTAATAACGTGTTGAACTGATATGTGTGCATGAAAATATCGGAAACCGTAGCGGCGAGGATATATTCAACCGCGTAGAAAGATCCGTGCATCCACAGGCAGCAAAAGGCGTCTGGAAAGAAGATGATCCGTAAGGGGACTAGAAACATTCGGATATTAAGCTGAGTGAAGATGCTCTTTCTCGCCTGGCCAGAAGGACTTTGCTCGGTATTACCTGCAGGTTTCTCTTNTCGGGTGTCGTTCTTTTTATTCAGTAAAAATCCCNCGGCTGTGATATAACTCCACCAGCACCGGTNCCATGCTTTAACCTTCGTCCTATCACTTCCATTCCCAACAATGTTGCGCCCAGTCTCAGGAAGCAGTATACCAACAACGAAGAATAGAAGAATCCCGACAATAAATAAGGCCCAGAAGACCCACCCAATATCTCCACTCAGATATACAACCAGCCCACCCATGATCGGGCCCACACAGGTCCCTAGATTCAAGGCCATACTGACCCAACCCATCATCCTACCCCGTTCACTGGGAACGCAGACATCAGCGACAATGCCATAGCTTATAGCAAATGAGGCACTGGCGCCAAGGCTCTGAAGAGCCCGTAATAGTAAGAGGACACCATAGTTGGATTTTTGAGTGCCATGCCTAAATTAGCTAAAGCATAGATGGCGAGGGTAAGAAGGTATGTTGGTCTTCGACCAACGGAATCAGAAAGCGGTCCGAATATTGCTGGTGATACAGCTTGGAAGCTTATATAGATGGTCAATGTAATATCTATTGCTTGCCGCGATGTTTCGAATTGGGTCTCAAGCATTGGTAGAAGTGGAAAGTATACGGTCGCGGTGAGAGGTGATGTTATAGTTGCAAATCCCACAATTATAACAATGAACATTCTTGTTTTGGAAGTGAATAATGTGTATGGTTGGGTGGCCGGTGGCTCCGACCGTTGTGTTTCTGGGGTGTCATTGGCAGCATTGGTAGCAGGTACAGAGTAATTTGAGGGATTTGCGATTGCAATAACACGGCTTTTCTGGAAGTGAACAAATTGAATTCTGCTCATTACAAAATGTATTCGCCGGCAGTAGGGTAGGATGGGTGACGACAAAACATTCAGCGGGGTGAGGCAGCGGGGGAGTGGTACAGCAGTTCTTTGTTCTAAATCGGTGCATATTGGACACCACGCTATCCAAGCAATAACTTCATCATCAATTTTTAAATAGCACAGTGATGTTGGAAGAGTCATCCAGCTTTTCATGGAGTCTTTCTCAAACAGCACTTTGGGGTAGACGGTATGAAAGCATGTTCGAGTAGACACCATCCCATCTCCCTTAAGTTATGGTCAGCACTGATCTTTCTCTCCCCGCTAGTTCTTGACACTTTCGCTCGAAAGCAGTTGACAGTCATCATGCCCTCAAACTCACCAGTAGTCATTGACATTCTTTCAGGCGAATTCCGCGTCGATACAAATCTCGCCAGTCAGTTTCCGCCCGGTTCTCAAATCGTTTCTGCAATTCGCTTCGGGACCTCAGCATGGACCACCACAGCACGTCTCTGCGTGAAGAACAATATTGGGATTGAGAAACTATATTTCCTCAAGTGTGCTACTGGGGACAATGGTCGTTTATTGATACAAGGTGAATTCAACGCACAGTGTGAACTCTACAGGACGATGCCAGACTTCGTACCAAAGCCTTATTCTTGGGGCGAGATCGATCGGTCAGAACCAAAGACATATTTTCTTCTATCAGAATTCATCAACATGGCCGACAGGATCCCGGAGCCATATCAACTATGCACCAAGCTTGCCCGGTTGCATCGCGAAAGTGTCTCACCTACAGGAATGTTTGGCTTCCATATCACGACCTGCCAGGGAAATACTCCGCAGAACGTTTCATGGGAGAGTAGCTGGACTATATTCTTCTCCAAGCTTCTCAAGCACGTTTTAGACCGAGATTCTGCAGTCAATGGAGTCTGGGAGGATCTCAATATACTCTCTCAGAGGGCCCTGAATTATGTGGTTCCTCGACTAATCGGAGTACTTGAGGCTGAAGGACGCAAAGTAAAACCATGTCTAATCCATGCCGACCTGTGGGAGGGAAATACTGGGACATCTTCCAAAACAGGAAACATCTATATCTTTGGCTCTGCCGCATTCTATGCGCACAATGAGATGGAGACAGCGAACTGGCGATGCAACTATAACAAGATCCATGACCAAGTGTATATACGCACTTACTTGCGTCACTTCGCGCCCAGTGAGCCACGACACGAATGGGATGACAGGAGCCGCATGTACTCGGTATACTACAATATTATCTACTCTGTCAATCATAGGAGTGAGGGGACTGCTGTTCGTCAGATGTGAGCTAACCCCTGTTGATCTCTCTGCACGCGCGAAGCTGACTCTGACGCCAGGGCCTATGATGACTTGTACTATTTGATCGATAAATATGCGTCGTTTGAAGAAGGTATAGGCCCTCGAAGGATTAACGAATCTGAGCGAGCCTCGCTCTCGGATGAACGAGACCATACTAGAGCTTGAGAGAGCATAGCCAGCTCACTGTATAGATAACGAAATGTATTTCAGAAAATTGTTCTTCTATTGATGAAAACGCAATGAATGTTGAGACCAGTCTGATTTGCGTATTCCACCTGTATATGCTTTACCAATAAAGTTATGCTGTCTTCAGGGCTCGCGTTCATACCCGAGCTCAAAATGTAATTGCAGGTCGGATGACAGTAATTTTAGCTCCGTTGACCCAACCGGTTAACAAAAAATCAATATACATTTTCTATGTCTTTCCAAATAGCAAGAAATTCTAGTGTTTTGAAGACTATTTTCTTCCTGTATCGTAGAATCAGGTATGGTTTCTGGAAATACAAAAAATACTCTAGTATCTTTGAAGGGTCGGTTGACTCTAAACTTGCTTGTTGATAGTCATGTCAGTCACGTGCAAAGAAATACGGTCACTTGACCCCTCGCGAGCGGTAATATACACGCTCAAAGTTGAAAGGGTTCAAGAGCTCGAGTAGCTGGGTTCAACCCCTTGAAGCTCGGCACTTATCTTATCGGCATTTCACGTGATACATTAGTCATCTCAGCGATTCCGCCACCCGCTCCGCGTCTTGATTCCAAAGCGCTCCGCTCAACATCTCAGCGTTCCTTCTGTCCTTTTACTTTGCTTTCTCTGGGAGATTATTTAGAATCTATTGTCTGTGTCCAACATGCCGCGCGCAGAAGCTGGATCCACAAAGGCGATCAGCAACAAGATCAAGGCTGTACGTTGCCCTCTTGTCCACACTTAAAACAACTTACTAACGTCCAACAGAAAGGCTTAGGCAGACTTAGATGGTATTGTCAGGCTTGTTCGCGCCAGTGTCGCGATGAGAACGGATTTCGCTGGTAAGTTCTACAATTTGTGGAACATCCAACGTCTATGATACTGACTTTTCAAAGCCATGTCCAGAGTGAAAGCCATGTGCGCCAGGTGCTGCTAATCGGCGAAGACCCCAAGAAATACATCGAAGACTACAGCAAGCAATTCCTCGACAACTTTCTCAATCTACTAAAGACCGGTCATGGCGAGAAGAAAGTTCACATAAACCAGTTCTACCAGCAAGTCATTGCCGATAAGGAGGTTAGTGGTCCGAGTGGTCCTTGCGGAATGAGTCTGTCGCTAATATACATGTAGCACATCCATATGAACGCCACAAAGTGGAAGAGTCTTTCGCAGTTTGCTGCATACCTGGGTCGCGAGGGTATTTGCCGTGTCGAGGAGACAGAGAAGGGCCTGTTCGTCTCTTATATCGATCGGAGTCCGGAGGCCATGAGACGACAGGAAGCTTTGCTCAAGAAGGAACGCCAGGACCGGGGAGATGAGGAGCAGGAGCAACGACAGATTCGAGAGCAGATCAAGCGTGCTCAGCAGAGTGCGAAGGAGGAGGAAGAGGTGGACCCTGAAGCTCGCAAGCTGCAGCGCAAGGAGGGTGAGAAAGTCAAACTGAATATCGGATTCGGTTCGAAGACAAACGGTGATTCGAAGAGCGAGTCGCCGAAGCCCGCATCGCCTGAGGAAAAGGATAGCGGTGCATCGGCCACGCCAGAGACTACCGATGCTGCACCTGCTCCCGCTGCCGCTGCCGCCCCCGCCCCGCCTGCGCCACAGGCTGCGCCAAAGGTGTCTTTGTCATTCGGTGGTGGTGGAAACAAGCCGAAGAATGTCTTTGCTGCGGCTGTAAAGAAGAACCCTCTTGCGGGAAAGAAGGGGCCAGTCATGGAACAGCCCAAGAAGATGACGGAGCAGGAGCGCATCATGAAGCAGGAGATGGAGGCTATGGAGCGGAAACGTATGCGTGGTTCTGCTGGGTTCCCTGACGCGAAGCGCCCGAAGATCTCTTGAGTTGGTCGTTCGACAATGATATTCCTACGTGGGTTGTACCCATAACTCCACACCCTCATCGGCTTCGATGCCGCTCCGCCCAGGCGACGTTAATGCATTTGTTCCCGTCGGCCAGTGGGCAATGGAGAAACACCATGGGGGATATTACTATGACAAGTCAGACCTCGATGACTTTTACGCCGCGCGCTCTCGATGTCGGTGGCGGCATTTGCAGCAACGCGTTCTTGCGATACCGTTCAGTCGGATATTTGTTGACTGGGACGCACTCTTTCTGCTGGGTACAATGACTAGGCCATTGGCGTGGTCACCTTGAGTTCTTCGGTCGCCTATGATAGATTTATGACTAGATAGCGTTGGCCAATAACACTGTCAACTAATGAATATATAACTTGCATGTTATATGTCGCTGTATCTTTCAGTAGTGTCTCGATGAGTCAAGTGCGTACATGTCTCCGAATGATGCTATTTGCCTGCCGCCACTCTGGATGTCCTTCACACGCCACGGTATAGCGGACTGCCTAGATATATTGGTCGGGCAGGGGGAGCTTTGCTTCGGTACCCGCATCTGTCTTGTGCCGTCTCTCGTTTGGGTTATTTGGCAGATAATGGCTGTATTGGAGTGATCATTATGACGGTGGGAATCAATAAGTTCTTACCCAAAATGTATTACCCGGGGTTAAATATATATTACTAGTTACTACCAAACCCCATCCACGGAATTACTATTTAACATCTTGCACCATTGGAACTCGCTCTGAACCCGACTCAAGAGAATAATAAAACCCGAATAATAGTAGTGATAGAGTAATATCATCACAAGTCGAATAACAACCAAGAATATCCATGATACTCCGCCGAACGTACTGGTAGGTCATTTGCAGTTTGCTGTTATGATAGATGTTCTACTGGCCGCTAATAAAGCCAAAGTTAGAGGCAGCTACCATAACAAGCCCGGGTGGTCTAGTGGTATGATTCTCGCTTAGGGATACAAACCCAAGCATATCTGCGAGAGGTCCCGCGTTCGATCCGCGGCTCGGGCCTTGTACCTTCCTTTTTTGCTTTTGTTCCGCTCTCGCCAACACAATTGTCTCTCCCAAGCAAGGAGAGAGAGAAGAAGCTGACGAGAAAAAGAGTCAATGATCAACCAGGGAGGCAGCAAAATAGTTCTTTTTCTTTTATTAGCTGATGAGCTGTATCTTTGCTCCAAATTGATATGAAGCTTTTCTTTCGTCCCGCTCATGAGCCCGACTCAGCAGGAATCCGCCATCAGCTCGCACTTGGCCTCGAACTCTCCTGCCTGCGCCGCCCTTCTCCACGTACCCCATCTAGAATGTAACACAGCGTGACCTAATCAGCATATGAATCTGACACAAGACGTGAGGGTTCTTGAACTCAATCCAATGCGTTGTCACCAACCGACCCACCACCCCCGCAGTGAGCCATAATGTCTATCTATCGTTCGGGATCACACCCGAGCCCGGCATGTCGCGCCGTGCCTTTTCCCTCCACTGGCGGAGATACGTTCCGCTGGTTGATTGACTCACCCATCAATTTTCATTTTTTTTTTTTTTTTTTTTTTTTTTTTTTTTTTTTTTTTTTTTTTTTTTTCGCATTTGAATTCTGGACATATACAAAAATCATACGGCAATCGAGAGTCACACCTACACACACCACAAAGATCCTACTCAATCCAAAGATGGCCGTACAATCGCTTTCCCCAGAGGGGAGGCAGAAAACACTCGCTTTTATCGGATGTGGTATGTATCTATCACCAACACTACAATCAAACAATGATCGACAAACACCCAATATCTACAACCTGCTAATGGCGAATAAAGGCAACATGGGCTCCGCCATTCTAAGCGGCCTACTGGACGCAACGCGCACCCAAGCGGGAAAAATCAACCACTTCATCATAAGCACCAAGACCGCCGCATCCGCGGAACGTCTCCGCAGCCAATATGCCGAGGACGCATCCCGCGTGACCATAGCACATGACTCCAACCTCCGCGCAATGCGCGAAGCAGACATCATCATGCTGGCCTGCAAGCCCTTTCTAGCCAAGGGTATTCTCTCCGCTCCGGGAGTGGGGGAAGCGTTGTCCGGAAAGTTAGTGATTAGTATCATGGCGGGGATGACGCCCACTGACATACTCGACTGTCTGAGCGACGGGGATCGCGAGAGTGTCAAGATTGTTCGGGCGATGCCGAATGTTGCGGCGCGGTTGCGCCAGTCTATGACTATTGTTGAGCTTCCTGAGACGAAGCCGCTGGAGGAGGAGTTGGTGGAGATTGTGACGTGGGTGTTTGAGGTGATTGGGAAGGTCAAGTTCTTGAGTGCGGATTTATTTGATGTTGGGACGATGTTGGTCGGGGCTGGGATAGGCGTTATGACGGTGCCTTTGGAGGGATTGCTGGATGGGTGTGTGGTGGAGGGGTTGAGGAGGGCGGAGGCGCTGGAAATGGCGGCTCAGATGCTGTCCGGGATGGCGGCGTTGTTGAAGGAGGGGTCGCATCCTGCTGTTTTAAGGGAGAATATTTCGTCGCCGAGAGGGTGTACTATTCAAGGAGTGATGACGGTGGAGAGAGCTGGAGCAAGAGCGACATTTGCAGATGCGGTGATTAATGGCACGAGGCATCTGATGGGGGATCGGTAGGTGAGGTTACTATACTCGGGGTATGTTCCCGAATAGATTAGATCGAAAGATAGAGAACGATAGCAACACTCATAGATAGATAGAACACTGATAGAACCCCGTCAATTGATATATTATCCTCGATAAGAACACACAGCACCCATTGGACCGTCTCAACTGCTCCCATATACCTGATTTCATCATCCTGCAGCGGTACCCTTAACCGAGTACTACCGGAAACACCCACCGAACCAGTCCATCATCCATCAACACCAACTACAATGTACCTAGATTCCTGCAGACACAACCCCCCTCGCGTGGAATCAAGCCAATCGGTCAAAAAACCGTCTGCCGTGATCAACGACCACATACTCTGCGCTGGCGTCCCTACCCCTCACTACTATCATCCGGCAGCTTTATAACGAGGGGATAAATAAGTAGACAGGGAATACCATAAGCCCTGAACGTAGATGGAAGGCATCTAAACCGTTCCTTGAAATGAGATCGAAAGTATTACTCTGGCCAAAACGGCCTACTCCTCTTCTCTACTACCAACTCCTCCACCACCCACCAGTCTACTACCATGCCTACTACAACACCTCGTCAACGTCAACAACAACAACCCACCACACAGTCCCACCACCAGCCCCCAAGACCCCCTCCCCAGCACCCCTATCAGCCCTACCAACCCGGACCTTCCTCCGCTCCCTCCTCTTCACCTCCGTGATGGCCTCCCCGCTCCTCAAACCGTGTCTCTCCTTGCTGAAGTACATGGTCGACTCGAACTCCTTGCTCTTTAGTCCAGCTAAGAACCCAGTCGTGAATTATCTGCTGCGCAGGACGATCTATGATCACTTCTGCGCCGGGATTAATGAGAGGGAGGTCCGGAATACGGTGCAGGAGATGAAGTCGCTGGGGTTTAAGGGTGTTATTCTGGGGTATGCGAGGGAGTCGATTGCTAAGGTGGAGGATGTGGATCGCATTCAGTCGGCTGAGGAGAAGCAGGAAGCGCTGGATCGGGCGGTCGAGGAGTGGAGGGTCGGCACGTTGAGGACGTTGGGAATGTGTGGGAGGGGGAATTATTTGGCTGTTAAGTATGCTTTCTCTCTTTTCATTACTTATTGGATGGGTGTGGAGGGTAAGTGAATGACGGGTTTGGGCTAATAGTGTTTGTTTCTCTACGCAGGTTTACCGGTGCTGGTCCTGCGGCCGTGGAGGCCCTCTCGCGCGGGGATCGTGTTCCGCCACCCCGGATTCAAGAGGCCATGATGGAGATTTGTGATGCTGTTGCGGCGCAGGGCTCGCGGGTGTGGATTGATGCTGAGCAGCAGATCTTCCAGGGTGCGATTGATGCGTGGGCGGTGGATTTGATGAGGAAATATAACCGGGTGAATAGGGCGGATGCGCCTGTTGTTTTGAATACCTATCAGGCATATTTGAAGTCGTCTACGGCTAGGCTTAACGAACATCTCCAGCTCGCGCAGAGGGAAGGCTGGGCTATGGGTGTCAAGCTTGTCAGGGGAGCGTATATTGCGCATGACCATCGGGACCGCATTCATGACACCAAGGCCGATACGGACAGGAATTATGATCATATCGTGGAGAGTCTGATTACGAGACAGTATCCGCTGGGCGGGGAGCCCGGACAGCCGTTTCCGAAAGTGCGTCTGTTTGTGGCTTCGCATAACGGGGTGAGTGTGCGGAAGGCGTGTGCGCTGTATCGGCAGCGGGCGCAGAGTGGACTGCCTTTGATTCCGGTGGAGGTTGGTCAGTTGCAGGGAATGGCGGACGAAGTGAGCCTGGGGATGGTAGAGGGATCGACGGATGGAGCGGCTCCGGGGGTGTTCAAGTGTTTGGCGTGGGGGTCGACGGAGGAGTGTCTGCATTTCTTGTTGCGGAGGGCGGTTGAGAATCAGTCGGCGATGGAACGGACGAGAGATACGGCGCGGGCGCTGAGAGGGGAAGCTTGGAGGAGACTGGGTGGGGGAAGTGTAATGTAACCACGTTCTTCCATCGTTCAGTTCAATGTGAATATGATTCGATGATTATCGATGTAGTGATAGCCAGTTGTATACTTTTCGGCTCGGAAACCCGAGGTCGGAGGGCGTTCCGGAGTCTGGATTATCTTTGGAGTGAATGTTTCTTTCCTTAGAGGAACTATAACTTGTGCCTGCTATCGCAGCACTCGGACTTGGGCTCCCGTACCTTAACATTATGCGTCTGCCCTTATCAGCTAGGGATCGCCTGGACGCTAAGCTAAAGGATCGGCCCCCGTCTACTTCGTAGGATCTCCATAGCCTCTGCATAATCGGCATCCTCATCCTCCAGCACAGCTTCCCTCTCACATCCCTCCAGTATATCTAGC